CCGGAAAAATATGCCTGAAGAAACTCTGCTCTTCTCAATTTAGGACCCAGGATTTGTGATTGGATTTCTTATGCACAACTCATCCAATTGTCTATTAAACTATGGTGCCATATGTACTCAGATATGCTAAAGTGTATAAGAAAAAATATGTAAATAAAAGTATGTGTTCCTGTGTTTATAAATATATATAGTTGATTTTTAGTATATAGGTGATATATTGATAAAATAAATACCGAGAATGGTGCATTAAAAATGCGGTTTAATTATGGCTTAGATTAAATCTGATTGCCTTTAATGTCATACCACAGCACATACATAATTGTCGGTAATATAAGAATCATAAAATATGGTGCATAATACTGATATATACGGTTTTTAATAAAAGACAAATTATACCAATTATGAATTTATTAAAAATAAAAGTATCATTCTTTAATCAAATAAGTGTTTTTTAAGACACTTTTAATTGAAAGATTGAAGTCGGTGTTTACCTTTTAAAATGAATTAACAAAATACAATCTTACTAGTTACATTTACTTAATTCATATTTGAATTTTATTGATGTTTGTATAGTTACAAGCAAATTTAATAAAATGTAATATGTAGTATTTAACTTTTATATATTTAAAACTCTAACACAAATGTACCAACATTGGTTTTCGGTGTAAATACGTGGAAATCAAATCTTTTGCTTATACTTGTGAAGTAGATTTCTTCTTTTTAATCTTACATGTATTACAAACCGCCATCATATTATAAAACTAACACTATAAAACTAACACATCTAATAATAAAAAAAAATCAAAGCTTGTTCTGCAATCCATTATGGACTTAGAGATACAGGCTTGTCATAGATTTGAAAAAAATAAATACAAAAAAATTATTTTATGAGGGTAAAATCTTATTAACCCGGTGTAAGACAGCACACAATCAAACTATACCTGCATAAGACTAGACAAATTTTGGTCATCTAAATTTGACGTCACGCTTAAAAAAGATTTTTTACCTCCCCCACTTCCCTCCACTCAAATGACGTGACACCTCAACCTACAACCCCCCCCCCCCCCCCACACCCACCCCTCAAAATTTCAGTTGAATTTTTTTTCTTAAAATACGATATTTTTTCCAAAATCTTGTCTTAACTCTGTCAAAAAAGAGTATTTTAATCAATTCCTATTACAAGTTATTAAAATAGTTTTCTAAAACGCCGAAACAACGGCTAAATTCGTTTTCTAACATTTCTTTTTTTATCTTGCAAAAGTATGACGTCACACCATCGGAACACCCCCCCCCCCTCATCACACACCGTCACAAAATTACGGACCCCACTCCCTCTTACGAGTGTGACGTCATTTATGGACGACCCCCCCTAATGTGTAAGGACAGTGTAATCCTATTGCCTGAAACATTAGACTGTATTTTGTCCTCTGTTGTTCAGTTACAGGATCAGTTTGATGAGCCCACACAATACAAGTAGAAGCATAGAGATGGTCACTATTCCTTGTCCAGCTGGAGATTAATTCATAATATTCATACATTAGTTTTTATATATATAGTGTATAAGTAGTAAAAAAGCAGCATTATTATATGCTATTCTAATGAGTTTCAATAAAAAGTTGATAAAATATGTGGAAGCTTGATTTAAAAAATAGTAACAGGGGAGAGTACTTTTAGATACAAATCCAAGGGAAACAATGTAAGTAAATGAAAATTTTAACATATTTAAAAACTTCTAGTATTGATGCCTTATAGGAATAAAATAATAGACTTAAAAAAATAAGCAATAATATATGTTAAAACTCAAACTTACAACGAGAGAAACATAGACATAACGTTTTTTTTTTCACCAATGTTCTAATTAATTCAAATCACCCAAATGAATATTAAAATTATTTTAGAACATTTTTGAGGCATTAATATCTGCGTTTAATATAATTTCATTGACATTGAAAAAAAATTCGTTTGCCACGAAAATGTTCTAAAAGTTAAATAAGCAAATACTATAGACTTTTACAGATGTGTTGTGTGTGATGAGGGTTAGGTAAAGTTAATTCATGTTTTTTGTACGTGAATTAAAACACTTCAACTCACAACAATTGTTTCCTTCAAGTGTGTCGCCAGACATTATAGATTTATATAGATGGGTTGTGTGGGGTAAATAAAAACTCTAACAAATGTACCAACATTGGTTTTCGGTGTGATACGTGGAAATCAAATCTTTTGCCTATACTTTTGAGTAGATTTCTTCTTTTTAATCTTTACATGTATTACAAATAAAAAAAAAATCTGTCTATGAATAGGGCTGGTAAGTAGGTCACCAACCAGTTCTATAGCTCATGCAGATTTCATTGAGCCGTTGAACTGGTTAGTGACCTACTTACCAGCCCTATTAAAACACTTCAACTCACAACATGTGTTTCTCTCTTGTGTGTAGCCAGTAGCACACACACAGCGGTTTTTTCACACACACTGCGAAACTCCTCACCATCACAGTCATCCGTGTATTGACAAGGTTGACCCTTTGCTGGTAAATGATATTATTTTTTATAAAAATAGTTGTAATTATTCATTGAAACTATATCCTATTCATGTTGACAATAAAAAAAATATGTTTATCCAAAGCCGGTTTAATAAAAATACATTTTTAAAAATATAATATTATTAAGTAATAAAAAAACCAACTTAAAATAAATGAAAATAAAAAATATAATTAAATAATAATACAGATAATAATAATAATAAAGGAGATAGACATAGTACCTTAAATAATTAGTCATTATGTTTTTATACGTTACGTAAAAGTAAAACTCTATTTTTATTTCATGACTTGTGGCTATAGGTATTGTAACTTCTCTTATTTTATAGATTCGTTTAAAATGGTTCAGAGGTTTTTAAAGAGAAATTTGAGAAATGAAAAGTATACAGGAATAATGGGGAGCATGAAAAAAATGTCCTAAGCTCGATAGTAAGGAAAAAAAGTGAATTATTCAATAGAAGTGTATTATTAAATTTTATGTTTCTATTACAAATTGGCTGAGGATCAGTTGCTTTCTTATCAGGCATAATACTTGTTAGCTGACTATATTAACTTATTTTTTGTTCTTTAAATCGAATAATTTTAAAACAAATACTTTATAATAAAAAGAAAAATATATAAACAGCTATAATTTAGCCATGTAGCTTGCATTATAGTTTTAAAAAAAAACCTTAAATAATAAAACACCAATTTTCTCCTTTACAATCAACAACTAAAAATTATAATCAAGTTATAATAAAAAAAATCACAAACTTCACTAGTATTTATAAAAAACGTATTATCCGTGCTTAGTCAAATCATAAGAATGTGTACACAGTGGCGTAGTGAGGCCGGGTGTCACCCGGTGCGGCACTAATGGTGTCACCCCCCCCCCCCAGAGGCGTAGCGACCCTTCACGGGGACAAACTTTCAATTTTCGATTTGCATCCCCCCTCCCTCCACTCAAACTTTCGATTTGCACCTCTTAAAACACTATTTATCACTCGAATTATTGACTTAATTAAGTGGAATTATCATTTTTCTCTATATATTTTGCTATTTTTTGCCTTGGTGTCCCCCCCCCCCCTAAATAGGTGTCACCCTGTGCGGTCAACACCCCCCGCCCCCCCCCCCCCCCACCCACCCCCTCGCTACGCCTCTGTGTGTACTTACCTCCAATAGTGATACTTTTAGCTGCACTAGTTGCTGATTTAGCTCCCAATTTGACAGTACATATGTAGGTACCAGAGTCACCAGTTGCTGGTGTTTTGTTGGCATTTGTTATCTGTTATCAATTAAATTATTACAACCCCTATACATTATTAGAATAGCCATAAATCAATATATATATATATATATATATATATATATATATATATATATATATATATATAATGTATATATAAGCTTTAAAGTACGTTTATATATACATGTTATCAATTCTGCCATTACGACTGTTTTATGTGATAATGCTATTTCCTTACCTTGTAGACTCTACTGGTACCAACAGTGACAGAGTTTTTGGTCCAGACATACTGCATATCAGGGCTGTACGATGCTGTTTCACATGTTAGTTCATAGTCAGCTCCCTCGCTGTACGATTCCTTACTATCTGCATCATAGGTATCTGCTGTTGTGTTTATTGTTGGTGTTTGAATATTATCTGAAAATATAATTAACATAATTTAAAATACCTTTGCATCAACTTATAAATATATATATATATATATATATATGTATATATATATATATATATATATATATATATATATATATATATATATATATATATATATATATATATATATATATATATATATATATATATATAAGTTTGGTGTATGCTAATTATATCATTTTTCTGAGTGTGCTTCTTATAGTGTTGCAATAATGACACCGCTATTTTTGTTTTAAGGTCAATTTAACAACTTCAATATCAGTACAATGTCAGTTAACTACCTGAATGTCAGTTAACTACCTGAATGTCAGTTAACTCCTTGAATGTCAGTTAACTTTCTGAATGTCAGTTAACTGCTGGACTGTCAGTTAACTACCTGAATGTCAATTAACTACCCTGAATGTCAGTTAACTACCTGAATATCAGTTAACTACCCTGCATGTCAGCTAACTACCTGAGTGTGCAACGTTCACAGTGACTGTTAAAGTCTCATCTCCCATGGTAGCAGTGCACTTATACACGCCATCAACCGTAGCAGTAACAGCAACGGTGAGTCCGGATGTTGATGACAAGAGGGTTGCGCCCTTTTCCCATTTGTAGGTGGGTGCACCTGATGCACCGTCTGCTGTGGTGGCGAGGCAGGTCAGTGTGGCGTTGGTGCCAGTAACTGGCTGGTATTGCTGGGCTGAGTCCAGCTCAACAGGGCCCACGTTGACTACTATATCTATCATTTCTAGAGAGAGTGAGAGAGAGAGAGAGAGAGAGAAAGTGTGTTAAGTTTTTGTTACATGCAATAGTTGCTGATACGTATTTTTACTTTTTTATAAGTAAATAAAACAATTAATGTGAATACTTTTTTCTTTTACTTTTAATTATATATAGTAAAATAATTAACATTTCTTTAAATTATAAATAACAAAATGATATTTATTGTAAAGTTTTAAAAAAGTATTTATGTCTATTATTTTGTTATTTATATAATAAATATTAAAATTTAAATTTATAACTATTATAACAAAAGCTTTTATAAAATTGAAAAAGACATCTATTGATTTAGTAGTTTATATTAAAAAGTTTTAAAAAAAAATGCGGGAAATACGTTTATCAAATTAAATTTTAAAAATATTGTGTGTGAGGGACGGGGGACGGGGTGGGGGGGGGGGGGAGAGAGGATGATAATGTGAATGATTGGAATAAAAGGAAGTTATTGAGTCATCTTTTAACCTAGACATTATCTATTAATATAACCACCGTCTAAAAACTTGGTCATGTGACTCATTAGAATTAAAGGCATTCATTAAGTAAGCTTTTAACCTAGGCAGTGTTTATTAATAGGCCTATAAAAACTGGCTATGTGCTTGGTAATATGACTTGTTGGAATTCAAGGTATACAAACAGAGGCGTAGCGACCCTTCCCGGCGCCCTGGGACAAACTTTCAATTTGGCGCCTCCCCCCCCCCCCCCATATATTTTTTTTTATTTTTTTAATGCAAAACACTGCAACTAGAATGAACTTTTAATTTTTTTTTCAACCCACTTTAGCGCCTCCTAAGGTCGGCACCCGGGGTCATATGTACCCCCCCCCTCCCCCCCTCGCTACGTCTCTGCATACTACAGGTAAGCTAATAACCTTGACCTTATGTGTTAATTTAACCACTCGGGCGGATCTTTGTTATTTGGCTAAGGATTAAATACATAAACCAGGTAGCTTTATAATGCAAACATGCAGTTTTTAACTATAAGGAAGTGACTATTCGGACCCAGGGCCTAATAGCCGTTATTAGAATCCGGGTTCTTATAGCTATTGCCTCTATTCAGACCCAGCATTACTAGCGGCAATTTGTATTCAGACCCGGGTGCAAATAGCCATGGCCGCTATTTGGAACCAGCATTAATAAAGCGGCCGTGGCTATTAGGTCCCGGGCAGGTGAGGCTCCTTAACTGGGGACAGCCCCTCTTCTAGGAGAGACAACTCCAAAATTAAACAACTGCTGCCTTGTAGTGTGTTCTTGGTTGGACAAAGGCTATGGAAGCAAATCCAAAAAGAAAAGCAGTCTGAAAGCGGAGTTAATGGCCTCAATGGCGCATAACCTGTTGACACGTATACTTAATTGTGATTGAGGCGTGGTCGAGTCAGTAAAAGCTCATGGTTGATTAATTCGAGTTCAAACCCTCTGGCAGATAAGGCTCGATCCCCTCCAACACTAAAAATTAAGAACGAAGAAGAAGAAGAAGAAGAGGACCCACGCAGCCTAAATACAATCTCTTACGTTTAGCCACGACCGTGAGGTCACTGCTGGTCTTGGATATGTCGGAGCCCAGTGTAATATCACACGTGTATTTGGTTGTCCCTGGTTTCACAGTTATCTCATAGTTCAGTGAGGTTTTGTCTGATTGAGAAAAAATTATAATTAACTTTTTTTTTCACTAATTTCGTTGATCTATACAACTTTTCTGGGGAGGTCAAAGTAAATATTTAAAAAGATCAATTGTCAAAGACGCTGGAATATCATGGACCGAACTCGAAGGAATCGCCTAATCTTCAGCACAATAGCAAAGATGATTGGCACAAGGCAACCACAGCAGTGATGAAGTTAGGAATCTTTTTTAGACCTAGCGATCCATCTGGCAGATGAAGTAGAGTTTATATGTTTCTTGACCTCAACGTATGAAGAGATATGGTGGTCAGTACTATGCCCAGCCGCCTTTACTTTCCCTAATATGAGTTAGGTACCCTTCAGAGCTGAGTGGACGAGGTGGGGGGGGGGCTGGCTGGTTTTCTTAATACAGAAAAACAGAAAAGAGAAATATTTACACCTCCATTCTTCGCTCACTAGAAAAATCTGGCTAGCTCTTATTAAAAGGAGACGTAATTAATGCATAATGTAACAGAGAAGAAAAATCATAATTTTAGTAGTTGATAATCCTAGCTATGTATAGAAAAAAGTGGACATTGGTTTTTTTATATTAAAAAAAAGGTTGAGGCCTCCACAAGTCGTTATTAAACCTATTATTAGCTCTTATCAAAAGTAGACTTTACTAATCTTCAAAGAACATTGCAACGAAATATATAGACTCTATATTTTTGACGTCGGTGAATTTGGCTTTGGTTTAAAAAATTTACCTGGCACTTTTGATCCCCCTATATACCACCTGTAAGTCAGGTAAGGGAAGTCGTAGTCTTCTCCACAGGTCAGCGTGTACGTGTTTCCCACACCAAACAGATCGTTTTCGCAATCTGACGTCACCACAGGTGTCTCAGTGGCTAAAATGGGGATGAACGTAAAAAGTTGTTGAAAAACTCGTTTAGGTCTAACGTATTAATTAATAACAAGAAAAAAATAAGGTAATTCAATTAAAATCAGAATTTCTTCCAGGCATCTCTTCTGTCCACTCACCCCGGAAATTTTAGTTGCGCCCCCCCCTCCCGCCCCCGAAAATTTCAAGTGCCCTCCCCCCCCCCCCCCCCCCACCCGGAGAAAAACTCTGGAAGAAACACTGATTAAAAGGTATGCATGAACAAAATTTAAACATGAAGAATAAAGTTTTAAGTTCACTAGCAAAGCCTGCTAGGTCACTTTTGGGTGATTTAAAGGAAATCGATTTTTAAATTATTTTTTGATTAATTATCTTAAGAATTTTCGATATTTTACTATTACATAAATTATTTTAATAAATACCTTTTACAACAAAAAAAAAATATGTATGCTACTTAATTGCCACTTAATTAAGAAGGCTGTAATAGTAACTTATTTCTATTTTTTACTTTCGCGTATATACGAAGTATAGAGAAAGTCTTGTAATCGTGCAAAAAAAAAATCGAGATTTTTACAAATCTCGACGTTTTACATCTCACTGATACGGAAAAACATAATTTTGCAATCTTGTCCGTATGTCTGTGTGTCTGTGTGTGTGTGTGTGTCTCTGTGTGTGTGTGTGTGTGTGTAAACACGATTACTTGAGTACCGTTACAGCTAGGTTGCTGAAATTTCATATATAAGTATTTTATCAAAATCGTAGATCCGTATCAACTTTTGAGCGATTTCCGATAACCGGAAGTGGTACATTTTCTACTTTGAATTTTTCAAAAGCCTATAACTTGAGTACTATTTCAGATAGATAAATGAAATTTCACATGTAAGTAGAAGATCTGATTCTCTACCTTCTGTCACATTTTGAGTAATTTTCGTTGACCGGAAGTACTAATTTACGCTATTTCCGATTTCTCAAAAAACGCATGTAAATTTATAAAGTACTAATAATATTGCGCACTATTATGCACATTTTGTTTTGGCGTTCGCTTCATGCGCAATTCTTTTTTCGATGAGATTCTATTTTTAAAAGTTTAAGTAATTAAGAACCATGTCTATATTCCAAGTTATATAAGAATATTCGAGAAAGTTTAGGGGAGATCACTCCCGGTTTATTAAAAAGTGGACTTTGCAGGTTTTGCAAGTGGCATTCTCGTAAAAAAATATAGAAACCACTAGGATCCTACTTACTCAAAGTTCTAGCATTCAATAATACATTATTAAAATCAATAAGATACTACCTACACAAAGTTTTAGCATCCAATAATAAACTATTCAAATCAATAAGATCGTATTTACTCAATTGTTTTAGCATCCAATAATAAACTATTGTAATCACTAGGTAACTACTTACTCAAGTTTTTAGCATTAAGTGTGTATGTATTTGAGTCTGAATCCAATCCGACTCTAGCCTCACAACTATAGACACCATTATCAGCAGCTGTTAGTCCATTGATCTACAATATAAACATCTGTTCAAGTTTTTTAACAATCAAACACGTGGTTACGCCTTAGTTTGGTAGTATTTGATGAGAGATAGCTGGGGACAGCAACTCTTGTGGTTTGTTTTTGGTTGAACAAAAGTTGAGGAAGCAAATAAAAAAAAAGTAGGCTGAAATCGGAGTCAACGGCGTATATGGAGCATAACGAGTTGAAATACTTAATTGAATTTGAGGAAATCCCTTCCAATTTTGAATTTTAAGAACGATGAAGGAAAAATAAGATAGATTTAGCAAGTGAGTAAAAACTTAAAAAAACTAGGATTTAAATTAGAAGTCACTATTGTAAAACAGATTAGTATTTTGTAGGTTGAAACTTATATCATTGAAAAAAGATGGCGATGGATGGGGCACGTCCTAAGAATGAATCCAGAAGACATCGCAGGAATGGTGCCAAACTGGACGCCTCAAGGAAAGAGAAAACAATGAAGGCCGAAGGAGGAGTGGAGGCGCGTGGTGGAGAAGCAACTGGCAGAGGCAGGACTGTCATGGGGGCCTGCCAGGAAAATTGGTGGTGATTAACAAAAGTGGAGGGAGCTTTCTGTGGAGTCCCCATGTGTCTTAAGTACAAAAAGGAAAAGAAGAGGAGTTTGAAACTTGAATCTTTCGTGGGTTCGGGTTGCATTTGAAACTCTTGGGAGAAGGGGGGGATAGGGTAAAGTATATATTTTCTTAAAAAGTGATATAATTTTACAATTTCGTCCAGGGTGTGTTTTCGGTGGTGGGGAGGGTTGACGTGGTCGAGTCGGTAAAGCTCATGGTTGCTAAACCGAAAAGTCTCGAGTTCGAACCCTCGGGCAGATGAGGCTCGTTAGCTGGGGACAGCCGCTCTTCTAAGAGAGACAACTCCAAAATCAAACAACTTCTGCCTTGTAGTTTGTTCTTGGTTGGACAAAGGCTATGGAAGCAAATCCAAAAAGAAAAGCAGGCTGGAATCGGTATCAACGGCCTATATGGCGCATAACCAGTTGACACGTATCCTTAATTGTGATGGAGGCGTGGTCGAGTCGGAAAAAGCTCGTGGTTGATAAATTCAAAAAAGTTTCGAGTTCAAACCCTCTGTCAGATAAGGCTCGATCCCCTCCAACATTAAGAACGAAGAGAAGAAGAAGGTGGTGCGGAAGGTAGACTTGCTACCAAAGGCGTAGCGACCCTTCCCGGGGACAAGCTTTCGATTTACACCCCCTTCAAACTTTGGATTTGCACCCCTCCCCTCAAACTTTCGATTTGCACCCCCCTCTCCTCAAACTTTTAATTTGCACTCCCTCTCCTCAAACTTTCGATATGCACCCCCCCCCCCCAAACGTTTGATTTGCACCCACCACTCAAACTTTCGATTACTTTTTCCAAACCATTTTGGCGCCCCCTGAGGTCGGCGCCCGGGGACATATGTCCCCCTCTGCCCCCCCCCCATAGCTACGCCTCTGCTTGCTACCCCTCCCCGTAGAGATATCTAAAAGAAACCCTGTACCCATCGTATAAACAGATTCTATTTATAATCTCCCAGCCCTAACTTACCTGTAGGGCCTCATCAGTGATGTTAAACAAAGTATTGCCTCCTTTTTTCCACGTGTAGGTCACTCTTCGAGGGTCAGTTGTCCTGACTAGACAGTACATGTAGACAAATCCCCCCAGAACTGGTTTGGTTGGATACACATCAATAGTTACTCTTTCTATTAGCTTAGGTTCTGTTGATACAAAGTGTATTGATATAATTAGACATGTAGGTTTAGAATTTAGATTAATGAAGCAAGTTTATAGATCTAGTCTAGGTTGTCGCACTTGGTTTTATTGAATGCATAAATCAAAATGTCGTTTTATATTGTATTTTTAAGAGGGGGTAACATATTTTAAATATATTTTATGTTTGCTTTAATCATCGAAAATTTGCTACATGGTAATTTTTATCTGTAAATTATTTAAAAATAAAAGCTCTACAAAACAACAATATAGAAATGTATTCATTTAAGAGTAATTTGAGCTGAGGCCACACTACTCATCAATGTGCTAAACAATCGTCATGTTTGGCTATGAGACAGATGAAGTCAGTGTTTCTTTCAGACTTTTTTCTCCTGGGGGGGGGGCACTTGAAATTTTCGGGAGGGGGGGGGGGGCGGTAGACTTTCTTCGGGGGGGGGGGGGGGGCGGACACTGTTAAAAGTATATATTTTCTATAAAAATTATATATATTTCTTTTGTTCGGGGGGCGGTAGAATTTTTTCGTGGGGGGGGGGGGGATGCCTGGAAGAAACTCTGGATGAAGTAGAGTTTCATTGGCCTCACCATACAGGGGTATGATGTGGTCAGCAATATGCCTAACCATCTTAGTTTTCTTAACCTGAGCCATGTACCCATCAAAGTTGGGCGGGCTCAATGTCGTCCTACGGGCTCAAACCCGGGATCCGAACTACAGACTTTACGTTAGCAGTCGGAACCTCTACCATCTCACCATCTAGACAGGCCTATGTATCTGATAATACTTGGTATTTGTCTGATAGTATAAACTATTTGTCTTAAATTATATAAAAGTCCTTACTATGTGCCTGAGCATATTTCCGATTAGTACTCACAATTTGTTTGATAGTACTCATAATTTGCCTGAAAGTACTCACAATTTGTCTAATAGTACTTTCGATTTGTCTGATAGTACTTACAACTTGATAGTACTCACAACTTGATAGTACTCACAACTTGATAGTACTCACAACTTGATAGTACTCACAATTTGATAGTACTCAAAATTTGTCTAAAAATACTCAAAAATTTCTGATAGTACTCAAAATTTATCTGATAGTACTTTATATTATTCTGATATTTTTCACAATGTGCCTGAAAGTACTCACAATTTGTATGATAGTTCTTAATATATGTGTTATAATACTCAACATTTGTCAGATAGTACTCAAAATTGATCTTATAGTACTCACACTTTTGTCTGATAATACTTTTAATTTATCTTATATTTATCACAATTTATCTGATAGTACTCACCACTTATATGATAGTACTCACACTTGTTTTTATAGTCTTTTAAAGGTGACTTATAATACTCATCACTCGTCTACATGTACTCACCAACAACAAGCTGCACAGACTTAGACGTGTACACAACACCTTTCACCGTAGCACTGCATGTGTAGGCTCCATTGTCTGAGTCTGAAAGACTGTTCGTTGTAAATGATACTGTGTTCTTGCCGGTAATAGGTGACCCATTCTTCTTCCACACGTAGTTAGTGATATCGGATGCTGAAACTGGGTTTAAAAAAAAAAGATAACTAAAGCATATATGAACCGGTTTCTTTCAGAAATTTTTACTACGGTGTGTGTGTGTGGGGGGGGGGGGGGGGGGGGTGGGGGTGGGGTAGTGGTAAAGAGGTCACTTAAAACTTGAGGAGGGGGGGGGGGATACTCAAATTTACTTGGGGAAAGGACACTGGTTAAAGTATATATTTTCTTCATAAATGATATGTGTTTTTATTTTTCCCCTTGGAGGGGGGGGGGGGGCGGAATCGTCCATTGGAAGAGATGCCTGAAAGAAACTCTGCGTATGAAAAAAATTCATGTTGAAAAACATACATATTTTGTACACATTGGCACCTTTTTAATACTAAAACCTGCGACTTGACCCATATACATATTCAAACAACAAGTCTCTTGAGATGTGTCCCCTATGTTATAGAAAAAGACGATAATAAAAAACTCACCAATGAGATCCGTGTCATTGATCGCACAGAAGACCGTCACAGTACTGCCAGCTTCAGCATAGGCTATTGGAGGGACGTCAGGTCTGGGTCCATTCGGGTCTGCTGGTGGGTTACTAGGGTCCATGTTCGACAAGAAAACTCCAGCTATCGCGGCTGCAATATATATATATATATATATATATATATATATATATATATATATATATATATATATATATATATATATATATATATATGTATATATATAAATATTTTGTCGCATTCGGGCAAGTGTCCATTCGGGCACATGTCGCATTCGGGCAAGTGTCCATTCGGGCATTTGTCGCATTCGGGCAAGTGTCCATTCGGGCGTTTGTCGCATTCGGGCAAGTGTCTATTCGGGCATTTGTCGCATTCGGGCAAGTGTCCATTATGGAAATCGGCTTTTTCACGAACGGCATTCGGGCATGTGTCTTTCGGGAATTTTCATTTTCTGCCAATAACTTGTTGTCCAGTTTCCATAGTTCGGGTATTTACAATAATGCAAAGTTCCTCTTTCAGACCTAATGATCTACAGAGCAGATGATGTAGAGATCATTTGTTTTATGACTTCGGCATATGAAGGGGATAATGTGGTCCACACTATACCCAACAGCCTTTAATTTACTAAAAATGAGCCAGGTACCCATAAGAGCTGCGTGGACTCTGGGATCCAAACAGCAGATTTTTGGGGGTGTGGGGGTGGAAAGGTAAGGGGGTCATGAAGCGAAGACCTGAAATACCGAATCTGGATGAAGATCCGAACTCAATACCTTTGGGCTAGCAGCCGAAAGCTCTTTCATTCGACCGCACGGTTCCGTATTTATAACAGCCTTATTATAAAATTAAGCTGAACAAACGCAACACACAAATACAACTTACATGCTATGGTAGGTGAGGTGACCTCCGCGCTGGTTGCGGGAAGTCCCGTAGGTTTGATCGTGTCAGTTGTACTGATCACACATTTGTATTTTGTAGCTGTAGAGGGAGTTGCTACAGATAAGGAATCGCCAGATGACCCCAACGCCACAGCCCCACCCACGAACCATTGGTAGGTCAAGGTCAGTCCAGATGGGATGTTGACGCACTTTAGGTTGAGAGTAGCGCCAGCGAATGCACGTGCAGGCATGCCAACCACCTGAGGTGCTATCGCAAAGTTTGTAGCAACACCATCTGAAATATTAACTTATCGATTAAATCTTATGGCAACATTTTTTTTTATCAGTCATATATTTTTTTTAAATGGTAAAATTGTCCACGCATCTAAAATTCTTTCTGTTGATAGCATTCTTCGTCATACTTTATTGCTAACTTTTTTTTACAATTGATTTGAAAATAAATGTGACAACCATAACTATTAGTATCAATCACCAATTGAAAAATAAAAGTATCAGATTTTTCTTCAATTGTTATCACTAAAACATGATTTTTCAGCCATTTCTTTGCAGGGCAGTACCTCCCTCTCCCCGTTTTCGGAAAATCCACCCCTCCTAGGAGCGTAAAATTAAACAAAAATTGAATTTTTATAGAAAATATATAGGCGTACTCCAATTCTCCGCCTACTTTCACTACCCACAAGTCTTGAGTGCCCGCGACCCCCCCCCCCCCCCCACACACACACACCCCACCCAACTTAGGATTTTAAAAAAGTCTGTAAGAAACCCTGCCACTAACCAATGACTGAAACTTTCACAGGTGCGCTGAAGGCTGTCTCGAAGTCTCCGGTGGTAAATTTTATCTTACACCTAGAAAAACAAGAGAAAAATATGAGAAAACAAAAAGATATAGATACATATCCAAATTAAATAAACACGGTTTTCATGCATTTTAAAATTCAAAGAGTTGCATGTGATCCAAGGACGGGGGTTTTGAACACAACATAGACCCATTGAGCCCAGATTTAATATTGTGTGTGAGTATTAATACTTTGACACTTTGGAGAATTTGAGAAACATTGGGATTTCGGTTGGTCGGGTCGTTAAAGCTCATGATTGGACCCCTAAAAGACACATGTTCGAATCCCAGGAAGATGAGGCTTGTTAGCTGGGGACAGCCACTAGAAGAGACAATTTCAAAATCAAACAACTGCTGCCTTGTAGTTTGTTCTTGGTTGGACTAAGTCTTTGGAAGCGAATCCAGAAAGAAAAGCAGGCTGTCATTTGCCTATATTGCACATAACAAGTTGACACGTTATACTTGTGTTGGAGGAAATCCCTTACAACATTAGAATTAAGAACGAAGAAGAAAAAGCTACTTCAATTTCAATTTATACCTTCTGGGATAAAATGTCAACTTAACGCATTCACTGTTTATTGTTCTTATGCAAATAGTTATGCCACATTTAATTACTGTTGATATTTTTAACTTTTAACGTAAGAATTTATCTATCTTGTCGTATGCTGTTTTTATTCTAAAACAAATATTTATGGCAAATTTAATTACCCTTAATATTTTTAACTTTTACCAAAATAGTTTATCTATCTTATCGTATCCAGCTAAATTTAACTTTTCCTTAACCTGTAGTCTCCAGTGTTGGCAGTTATCACACTTGTCAAAATGAGTTCACTGTTGATTTTGTCAGTCAATGGCGTGTTATCTTTTGTCCATACGAACGTCCCGTCCCCATAGTTTGGGTTACATACAAGTTTGATGTCTTTCCCTACCAACACTTCTCCGCTTCCTGCGTTCACAATAAACAATTACATTGAGGATAAACATTGAAATGCGTAATAATTTAACAAATCTACATCCATTGTTAGGGAGATTTTATTGAAAATTTGTAAGCGAAAAAAAAAAAACAACGAAATCTATTATTGATTACTTAAGCAAGGAAATTCATAATAATTTAACTATTCTACATACTTTGTTAGAGCGATTTTGTAGAAAATAGGTTAGCGAAAAAGAAGAAATATTTTATTACATACTTAATTAAGAAAAGCAAATATAATCTTATCACAGGAAAGAATCTAAATCAATAAGAACACAGCTAGGATAGATGACTGTGCGGGTGGGATAGTTTTGTCTCAACGAAATGTAGTTAAAAGTTTTCAAAGGGAAAGAACATTGTTTGAGGAATGTTACAGCACTCAACCACCTATACCCTCTTAAATATTCATATAATTCGCATATATATATATATATATATATATATATATATATATATATATATATATATATATATATATATATATATATATATATATTTAAAGAGAGATATAGAATGATTCTGCAATTTTTAAAAGAATTCTTTGTAAAAATACTGAACTACTTTTAGATTTACCTATACTCATTGTTGCGTAGCTATCTGTGGTTGATGGCCCGAGTTTTGGAAGCACATCTATTTTAGGCATGACCTCACCTAGAACGAAAGTAAACAATAACATATTGTAATGTAGTTTGTGAATCAAGTATGAAGTGAAGTACGCAACATATAAACACACTAATAGGAAAAAAACTTAGCCTCAAATTTAAACAAAAATATCGTTTGGAATTAATATAAAAATATAAATTATATTGAAAAAACATCGTTAAAATCATAGATACAAATTTGTTTGCCCAAGGAATTTAACACAGAGAATAGGGCATAGATGCTGGATAAAGCACCAGTATCTAAAATGCACACTACACAAATACGTGTTGGTTTTTACTTTTTCGAAAAGGCCTACGAAATATAGAGGAAGTATTGTAATCGTGCAAAAAATAGATATCTCGATTTGTGATCGAGATTTTCACAAATCGCGTCGTTTTACACCTCCCTGATTCGGAAAAAACATAGAATTTTGTCCAGAGGCGTAGCGATGGGGGGGGGGGGGCAGGGGGGGGTACATATGTCCCCGGGCGCCGACCTTAGGGGGCACCAAAATGGGTTGTAAATAGAAATTAAAATGTCATTTTAGCTGCAGTTTGAGGGGGGCGGTGCAAATCGAAAGTTTGAAGGGGGGGGGGGGGGGTACAAATGGAAAGTTTGCCTCTGATTTTGTCCGTATGTCATTTGTGTATGTAAGTGTGTGTGTGTGTGTATGTCTGGGAACATTATAACTTGAGTATCGTTACAGCTAGGTTGATGAAATTTTATTTATAAGTATCATATCAAATTTGTTGTTCTGTATCAACTTTCCAACAACCGGAAGTAGAGCTTATTCTACTTTTGGTTTTTCAAAAGTCTATAACTTGAGTACTGTTTCACATAGACAAACGAAAATTCACATGTTAGTAAAAATCTAATTCTCTGCCTTCTGTCAAATTTTGAGAAATTTTCATTTGATCTAAAGTGGTACTTTATGCTATTTCCGATTTATCAAAAAAAAAAACGCATATGAATTTATACACATTGTTTTCCGTTCTTCTGGTGTTCAATTCTATTTTCATCGAGATTCTATTCTATTTTTTTAAAATTAAGTATGTGAAAACTGATTTAAAATCATGTCTATACCCCGAGTTTCCATCTCTGTAGTGTTATATACGAATATTCGAGAAAATTAAGTGAAGATCATTCCTGCTTTATTTGTTTTGTTTTAAAAGACATCAAACTATACTTAAATTTATCGGCGTGGCAGAGTCGGTAAAGCTCATGGTTGCTAAACCGAAAAGTCTCGAGTTCGAACCCTCTGGCAGATGAGGGGACAGCCTCTCTTCTAGGAGAGACAACTCCAAAATCAAACAATTGCTGCCTTGTAGTTTGTTCTTGGTTGGACAAATCCAAAAAGAAAAGCAGGCTGAAATCGGAGTCAATGGCCTCAATGGCGCATAACCAGTTGACACGTATACTTAAATGTGGTGGAGGTGTGGTCGCGTCGGCAAAAGCTCATGGTTGATAAATTCGAAAAAAGTCTCGTGTTCAAACCCTCTGGCAGATAATGCTCGATCCTTTCCAACTCTAAAAATTAAGAACGAAGAAGAAGAAGACTTATATCGACTCCAATGGTCTACTCACCAATGCATCCTGTCCGTGTCGACACCAAACCACTCTCGCAGTCACACACCCCACTCGTGCACGTGCCTGCCACATGCAGAGACGAGTAGCACGTGTCGTCGGTCGTGCAAGACGTGGCACCTGTGTACTCCCACAGTGCACCTGTCAGTGAAAAATTATAGTACGGTGAGGTGCACTTGAAGCGGCGAATAAAATCCACTAAAACTAAAATGGAGTTTACTGCCGTTGACACATTTCGTGTCGTTTAGCAATTTTAACACAGTGCTTCTCTTTTAGACATATTTCTCCGATCGAGGAGGGAGGAGGGGGGGGGGAATGGGGACAAACAAAATTGGGGGAGTGGGGGGCGGACACAGGAGAAAAAAGTATATATATATATATATATATATATATATATATATATATATATATATATATATATATAGTGTCGTTCGTTCTCTAATAACTTTCATGTACTTTTTAATTTCCTAAAGCCATTTATTTTAATGTTTCCCTCTTTCTCTTGTTCCGTTTGGATTTATTGAAATGCCGTATGCCTTGTCTGGTTAGAGTTAACGTATGGCATATTAATCTCCATCTTCGTTTTCAGATTTTATGTTCCCCTTGAATTTGCTTTGCCTGTTTTTTTTCCTATACTGCTGTGTTATGTACTTTGCCAAATTTATTACACTTATTCTCCAAAAATTCATTAGATCTTACGGATGTAATTTGCCCCAATTTAATTGCATTTTAAAGGTCTGTGTTCACAAATCTGGATACTGTGTTACGAAGAATCAAATTTATCTTGTAATTCATAAGCAATATCCATGCTTCACAACACAACATATCAAGACGAATTCTAATTTTGTAATGTCAAATTAGGTATTCTAACTATTGTAATTTTTTTTTTTTTTGCGAAATCCACTTTCCAACTAATAGAAGATAGTTATCTCTGAAAACCATTCCACAAGTAAGAATACATAAACATTAAGGTGATACCTATACCGGTAAACCGGATTTTTAGATTATTGATTTCAGCCACAAATTATATGATATAATAAACAATATGATCATTTTTATTTTAGATACTTTGCATGTCAATGTGGATAACTAGTTTATTTGTGAAGATACACTGAAAAAAGTTGTCATATTGTTTATGATATCATTGTTCATGTCTGTGCACAGTTTCATTGAAATTTATAAACTTTTTTTTTTCTGATTTTGTTGTGAATTTGTAAAATTGTAAAAACAATTACACCTTTTTCTTAATTAAAGGAAAGAAAACAACTTTTTGAAAAACTAACTTTTGTTTTTTTTGTCTTTGAATTGTCATACTATTAGTACACATTTACTATTTGTAGCTGAAATTAAATAATCTAAAAAAAAGGGGTCTACCGGTATAGTTATCACCTCAAGCTCTATAATTGCGATGCCGTCCGTAAATACACGGATATTGGGAACGAATGTAGAAATATTAATTTTTAAAACTTAAAAAAATAAAGTCATGGGTCGACGTTGTCGGGTAAGTAAAGCTCGTGTCGGCTAAATCTAAAATCTCCGTCTTCAATACCCCATGCAGATGAGACTCCATAACTGTAGACAGTGACCCATCTAGGAAAGCAAAAAACATAACAAACAATAAACTTCTGCCTTGGTTGAACAAATGGGTCGTCCATAAATGACGTCACACTCGTAGGGGGTAAGGGGGTCCGTAATTTTGTGACGGTGTGTGATGAGGGGGGGGGGGGGTTCAGATGGTGCGACGTCACACTTTTGCATTATAAAAAAGCAATGTTAGGAAACGAATTTTAGACGTTTTTTTGCGTTTTAGAAAACTGTTTTAATAAATTGTAATAGGAATTGATCAAAATACTCTATTTTGACAGAGTTCAGACAAGATTTTGGAAAAATTTAGCTGTGTTTAAAAAAAATTCAACTGCAATTTTGAGGGGGCTTGTAAGCTGAGGTGTGACGTCATTTTAGGGGGGGGGGGTCTGGCTTTTTGTGACGACGTTTGACGGAGGGGAGGTAAAAATCGTCAAAAAAAGCGTGACGTTATTTATGGATGACCCCAAAGACTATGGAAGCAAATACAAACAGAAAAGCAGGCTGAAATCGAAGTCAACGGCCTATATGGCGCATACCAGATTGATACCTAATATTTAATTGTGTTAAAGAAAATCCCTTCCAATATGACAATTAAGAATTAAGAAGAAGAAAGAAACATAAGTCGATTTGTTTGTCAACGATCCTGTTTCAATTAATATTTGGCAAAGACGAATGAACAAGATATTAAAAAAAAAAGAAAAGAAAAAATAACTCACCAATCTGGAGAATCAAGACAACTGTCCACCACGACGCCATCCTCAGCAGACACCGAACTGGATCTGAATGTGGATCTAAACGGTGCCTGGGCATAGTTATATTTGTTTTAACTCAACGTAACTACTAGCAACACTGCCAGGCAACAGCGTTTGTTTATTTGTTTGTTCGTTTACAGGTTCATTCGAGTTTCGTTTACAGGTTCATGCAAGTAACCACCAACACTAGCACCAGATTAAAGGGCTGGGGTGGTTTCTAGGGAACTATTCAAGTGCTAACACAGTTCTAAAGATGTTAGCGATGTTAAATGTTCTTGAGCAATGGAGCAGTACTCATCCTTTGAAAACGGTATTAAAAATATATGACGCATTTCGGTTCGTTTATTCACAATAGCCTTGTGATGTGTAGCTGACTCGCCTTAGAGAAACTAAAGCGACTGGACATATTGCTGACCACACTATCCTCCAATGTACCATGGTCATTGAAACAGAGGAACTCTACTTCACCTGCCTCATTTGTCTTAGGCATGAACGTGAAAATATGACGATGACTTAAACCCGTGACGTACTCTCTTCCTCCTGAAGATATTAGAAATTTCAAATGTTATTGATCAATGAAGAAGTACTCAGCATTTGAAGACTGCATTAAAAATTTATTACCCAGATGGTTTCGTTTATTTACAATAGATTTGTGATAATTTGAACAATATACACTTAATATGCGTTGTTCTTTTTTCAGATTCTGAAACGATAGTAACCATATCATAGCACAGTTCTTTCTGTACGTTTCCTATTCTTATTCTGAGAACCGGGTAGGTAAAAATAAAGTATTACGCGTTCGATTCTATACAAAATATTGTAATTAATCCACCGAAACTAAGTTTTGTGAAATGAATATTCGTTTACAAATTCCATTTTGTTCTAAACTATTTTTTTTTATATTGAAGACAAGTAAAAATATGTTTAAACTAAAATGTAAACGAGACAACGACCAACTAAGTTATGCATGTTTTGTCTGTAATGTATTCAAGTTATTAAAATCTAGCAGAGTACTTTGTGGAGTGAGTGGTCTAGCGGAAGAGCATGTGTCAGGAGGTTGAAGGAAAGACAGACACAAGACAACACGTTTCCTTAACAATCTGTTTTGGGCGGTTCTCTTCATATGGGGCCAATTCCAGTACTACGCATTCTTTTCTGGGTGTTCTTTTCATCTGGGCCATCAAAGTCCTACGCATTCTGTTCTAAGCAGTTCTCTTCATTTTGGGCCATGCAAGTCATACCAGTTCTACGCATTCTGTTCTTGGCGGTTTTATTCATCTGGGGCCATTCAAGTCCTACGCATTCTGTTCTAGGCAGTTCTCTTCATCTAGGCCATGCAAGTCCTTCCAGTGCTACGCATTGTGTTATGGGCGGTTCTCTTCATCTGAGGCCATCAAAGTCCTACGCATTCTGTTCTTGGCATTTCTCTTCATTTGGGGCCATTCAAGTCCTATTATCTTTGTATTCCTCCACTATTTTCTTGCTCTGCTGACTTCCCTCTCCCCACACCCCACTCCCCATCCCGCATAGTGAGTTCCAGTTTAATGCCTGCTTAACAGCAAAATGTTCATCTGTTTTTCCCGTGTTGTTTTTCTAAACAAAAACAACTATTTCCACTTGGCAAGCTTCGTCAGCCTTGCACATCTCTGCCGCTCATCAATCATTCACTTAGTAGCGGTAGTCTTGTTAACCAAGTTTAACCAACTAGATCTAAGGATCATTTTAGGTAATCGATATTTTAAATTGTCCGTGAGAAGGGTTAGGCACTGTCAACACAAAATGTCTTTCATCAAAACAAATGCTATTCATCAATACAAATGACGTCTATCTGTAGCATTTATCATTTATCAATACAAATGCTATAGATCAATGAACACCAACCCTCTCGCTAATACACCAACCCTCTCCCTCATACGACAACCATGTCCTCATAAGCCAATCATATTCCTGATACACAAACCATGTCCTTAATACACCATCCATGTTCCTAATACACCAACCATGTCCCTCATACACCAACCATGTCATACACCAACCCTCTCCCTAATACACCAACCATCTCCCTAATACACCAACCATGTCCTCATACACCAACCATCTCCCTAATACACCAACCATGTCCCTAATACACCAACCCTGACCATAATACACCAACCATGTCCCTCATACACCAACCATATCCCTAATACACCAACCATGTCCCTAATATACCAACCATTTCCCTAATACACCAACCATGTCCCTAATACACCAACCATGTCCTGATACGCCAACCATGTCCTCATACACCAACCATGTCCTCATACACCAACCATGTCCTCATACACCAACCATGTCTCTAATACACCAACTATATCCATAATACACCAACCATGTCCTCATACACCAACCATGTCCCTAATACACCAACCATGTCCCTAATATACCAACCATGTCCCTAATACACCAACCTTGTCCCTAATACACCAACCATGTCCTGATACGCCAACCATGTCCTCATACACCAACCATGTCCTCATACACCAACCATGTCCTCATACACCAACCATGTCTCTAATACACCAACCATGTCCCTAATACACCAACCATGTCCTCATACGCCAACCATGTCCTCATACACCAACCATGTCCCTAATACACCAACCATGTCCTCATACACCAACAATGTCCCTTATACACCAACCATGTCAAGCATACACCAACCATGTCCCTAATACACCAACCATGTCCCTAATACACCAACCATGTCCCTCATACACCAACCATGTCCCTAATACACCAACCATGTCCATAATACACCAACCATGTCCCTTATACACCAACCATGTCAAGCATACACCAACCATGTCCCTAATACACCAACCATGTCCTCATACACCAACCATGTCCTCATACACCAACCATGTCCCTAATACACCAACCATGTCCCTCATACACCAACCATTTCCATAATACACCAACCATGTCTTTAATACACCAACCATGTCACTAATACACCAACCATGTCCCTTATACACCAACCATGTCCCTAATACACCAACCATGTCACTAATACACCAACCATGTCCTCATCCAACCCTCTCCCTCATACACCAGCCATGTCCATAATACACCAACCATGTCCTCATACACCAACCATGTCCCTAATACACCAACCATGTCCCTTATACACCAACCATGTCCCTCATACACCAACCATGTCCCTAATACACCAACCATGTCCTCATACACCAACCATGTCCCTAATACACCAACCATGTCACTAATACACCAACCATGTCCTCATCCAACCCTCTCCCTCATACACCAGCCATGTCCATAATACACCAACCATGTCCTCATACACCAACCATGTCCCTAATACACCAACCATGTCCCTTATACACCAACCATGTCCCTCATACACTAACCATGTCCCTAATACACCAACCATGTCCTCATACACCAACCATGTCCCTAATACACCAACCATGTCCCTAATACACCAACCATTTAACTAATACACCAAACATGTCCCCAATACACCAACCATGTCCCTCATACACCAACCATGTCCCTAATACACCAACCATGTTTTCATACACCAACCATGTCCCTCATATACCAACCATGTCCCTAATACACCAACCATGTCCCTAATACACCAACCATGTCCTCATCCAACCCTCTCCCTCATACACTAACCATGTCCCTAATACACCAACCATGTCCCTAATACACCAACCATGTCCCTAATACACCAACCATGTCCCTAATACACCAACCATTTAACTAATACACCAACCATGTCCCTCATACACCAACCATGTCCCTAATACACCAACCATGTCCCTAATACACCAACCATTTAACTAATACACCAAACATGTCCCTAATACACCAACCATGTCCCTCATACACCAACCATGTCACTAATACACCAGCCATGTCCCTAATACACCAACCATGTCCCTAATACACCAACCATGTCACTAATACACCAACCATGTCTTCATACACCAACCATGTCCCTCATACACTAACCATGTCCTCATACACCAACCATGTCCCTAATACACCAACCATGTCCTCATACACCAACCATGTCCATAATACATCAACCATGCTAATAATACATCAGCCTTTCCTAATACACCAACCATGTGATATAGAAAATGTAATGAGCTCTAACCAGAACCATTCGTATATGAAGACGGTACAACAATATAAAAACGTTACATTAAATTATTTAAAACATAAACATAACTGTATAAGCATGCCACAAGCAAAATGTAATGTCAACTTAACGTTCCTGAACGCGTTCATAACATTCAATGTGTCTTCCAGACTTTTTTCTCTATTAGGGTGGAGGGGGGGGCACTTTAAATTTTCGGGGGGACGGTATAAAATTTCCGATGGGCGGACACTGTTAAAAGTATATATTTTCTATATAAATATTTCGTTCGATGAGGGGGGGGGGGGGGAGCGGTAGACTCTCTTCGAAGAGATGCCTGGAAGAAACACGGACAACATTTTGTATTTGATATACAGACTATTTAAACACTTTTGTCCGTATTATTTCTTCTTTTTAGTGACCTGTTAATTTTTGTTTAACGCGTGGGAGAAAGCATTGTCAAGGGGCCACAACTCCGTCGTAGGAAAGGCTTTTATGGATGAAATAACACCAGGACAGACACAAAAGAAGCTTCCTATTGAATGATGCTCTTTGATATAAAAGGGGAAACAATTAGATGCCATTGAATAATGAAAGTCAGGCTTGCTTTTGAGTTTAAATTGAATTAATAAGGGTATATTAAAGTCGGTAGAGCATTGCAACATTTGAGAAACTCAAGATATTTGACTGCCGTAGAACATTACAACATTTGTGAAAATCAATATATTTGACTGCAGTAGAGTATTATAACCGGGTGTAACTGGGGATAAGCAAGAGCCCATGAATAGTTTTTATATAAAAGGATAATTTCTGCTTATGTTTTTTTTTTAAATTCGTTTTTTTAAACTTAAAAAAATATACTTTAGTTATATTTACCGGTGTGGCATTTGCATACAATAAAGACGCAATTAGCCTGCTTTTCATGTTAAACGTTTGCTTTCTTTGCGCCTTATTATGTCAATTATTTATGAGGTGGGGTAGGAATAGTATCTTATGATTCATGAGGCAGAGGAAGTAGAGTTCACCCGTTTCACCTCAGCAATTGAAACTCGGGCATAGCCAACACTATGTGAGAGCCGCCTTTACTTTCACATAGGTAAGGGAGAAATCTAATATATATTCTGGTTAGTTCGCTCTACCAAACGACCCCTTCGTTTTTAAAACACTGCAGTAGCGTAGCGAGGGGGGGGGGGAGTATGTCCCCGGGCGCCGACCTTAGGGGGCGCCAAAATGGGTTGGAAAACTAAATCGAAATTTTGAGGGGGGGGGGGGGGTGCAAATCGAAAAGTTTGTCCCCGGCCGCCCGGAAGGGTCGCTACGCCTCTGAAATTTGGGTAAATTTTGGGTAATTATTGTTTATATTGAGAATTTTTTTTTTAAAACGAATGAACTTTAAGTTTTAACAATTGCTTTTTAATATACAACTGAGTCGGATCATATTTTTTACTAAAGGACCTGTTTATTTTACGTAAGTCAATCGGTAAATATCATCATCATCTATAATGTTTGTGCTCAAGATGCTTTAGCTAGATGAAGTAGAGTTAATCAGTTTGAGTAACCTCGGCATATTAGGGATAATGTAACTATAAATATGCATACAAAAAACTGATGTTCTAAATACAGTTAACCATTTGTATTTAATAATCATCAATATAGCTAAATTCTTGTTGGCTAATTTCAATATATGGCAAAAAAAAATTAGCTGCTCCTCGTTTAGTTGAGAAAATAGTAGCTAATCCACATAAAATTAGTGTTATAAATACATTTCTATTACAATGAACTAACATACTGCGAAATAACATCTATAGTTTAGTTTTAAGAATTAATTGTCTTTTTAAAATACTATGTAGTTTCGTCGCATATTTGACACGGTAAAAAAAAAAAAACAGTTAATTCCCTTTCGATCTATTTTATTACTGAAACAAAATCAAGAAATAACTGGAGATAACTCAGTTTTAATTAAAGCTGTTGTGTCCCTTGGTTAGAGCGTTGTAGAATGTCCTTTAAGATTTTAATGTGATTTGACAGTAAAAAAATTAGATATTAAATTAAATGCTAACATTATTTAAAGTTATCATGCAAAAGCTGGTAATAATTTATTAATGATGATCTTAATTTTTAATAATAATTTTAGATTTCATTGTGAAGAATAATGATTTATTTTATATTAAAGTTGTTGTTATGCTAAATACTGAAGTTATCAAATGTAACGTATATATCCTTGGTGTTGAACTTTTTGAAATTTTTTGATGACAAGATTTAAAGGGTATATGTTAAATGGCAAGATAAGTGGACGATTCAATTTGTATTTAGAGTTATAGAGATAACCTTGGTGTTTTAGACTGATATGTACTCTTCTGCTTTATATATTTATGGATATATTACATGGTGAGGGGTGGAAGCAGGCGTTGTGACTGAAATAGCAATGTAAACAGAAAGTGTTATTTCAACGCCAAGGGTAGACAAAGGTACAGAATATAGTCCAAGTTAAGACAGAACAGACAGACCCGACGGGTTCCGAACCTACCACTCCTCACGGCACCGAATCGCCTCGCCTTCCATGCATCAAGTCAGACGTGTAACCGATTCTGCCAATCAGCTCTACAAAAATAAAGCTTTCATGGCAGAGCACAATCACAACCTATGCACAACGCCTGCTTCCACCCCTCACCATGTTTACACTATACCCATTTAAGGAAGCTACTATTTGTCTGTATCGTCGTCCCTATACTTGTGTCGCCTGTGTGGTCGAATAATGGTCCTTGTTGTGTTTGAGGCTAACGGTCAGTCCCATTCGCGGTTCAAAGGTCACGCCAGCCCGCGTCTTTCGTGCATAGGTTGTGATTGTGCTCTGCCATGAAAGCTTTATTTTTGTAGAGCTGATTGGCAGAATCGGTTACACGTCTGACTTGATGCATGGAAGGCGAGGCGATTCGGTGCCGTGAGGAGTGGTAGGTTCGGAACCCGTCGGGTCTGTCTGTTCTGTCTTAACTTGGACTATATTCTGTACCTTTGTCTACCCTTGGCGTTGAAATAACACTTTCTGTTTACATTGCTATGGATATATTACAGCAGATATTTCATAAGGTGACACAGGCCACTCGAAGTAGAGAATACACGTAAATACTAGAGATAGTAAATACATATGACACTAGTTCATTTGATGTTAAACAATAAATTAAATACAATACAAATTAAAGAATAATACAGTAAAATTTGATCACAATTTATCTTTAATTTTCCTCAGTTGTTGGTAAAAACTTCTATACATACCTAAAGAAACGATTCATGAAATAGATTTTTCTTAACATTTTAATGATAATTTCAAACTGCTAGTGTTGTATCAGTTATTTTTTTTTTACAATTGATCACAAAAAGCAAAGAGTTCTTTTAAGATTAAGATTAAACATGAATTATATTTATTTAAGTTATTAATTAAAAGAGAAAAAAAAACACTTTAAGTAACCCTCATAAAGTCAGCAGATATTCTAGTTGTACAATCAATTATAAATGTATATTTAAAATTAGCACACATAGATATTCATAGCGTTATTCATTTTATTCAGCAGTTTAGAAGCAGATTAGTAATTAGAGTGAGACTGTTTCTTTACAGTACTTGACAGTACTTTAATTAAATATATAATTTTGACTAGGCCAGGTTTGATTGTGGATGTAGGCCTAAATGCATAACAGAAGCAACAGCTATGTATATGTCCTATGATGGTATTGCCCTTTTTTCATTTACAAATGTTTGTAAAGAATTCTTATTTCCTGTATTTAGGTATAGTGAAAAAGAAAATAAATTGTTTTTACATCACATACTTGTTATTTAGCAACCCAATAGTTGTAGTTCTAGACATGTTTATGATATATTGAATGTGTTTTGAAATATTTCTAAAAAAAGCAGTGATTTATGTGTCCAAAATTATATGTATTAGTAATTTTGTATTGATCTACTATAATTATAAATATCTGTATTTTTGTTATGTATTTATATATATGTATTCATACATATGTATTCATATCTGCTAAGGTTTAGGAGAAAAAATATGTATGTCTGTTTGTATTCTTGTTTCTTTAAACATCTATTGATTGTTATTGTTTAATGTGCTATATTGTTAAAATAATACTACAAAAAGGTGCATAAAAAATTGCTGCTTAGGTAAGGAATACCAATGGAGACATCAGATTGCCTTATTTTATCAAATCACAGCAGTTTGTTAATAATATTAGAATCATAAAAAGTGTAAATCTTATTATTAAAAATGTAAAAACACTGGGGAAAAAAAAGCACATGAATACTGTTGCATAAATTCTATAACAAAAAATCACAGGGTATTTTATGTATTTAACATCAGAATTTTAATTTTTTTTTTTGAAAAAGGATAATTGTTATGTACTAATGATGGATTTATTAAAATTAAATACAAATTTTCCCTATTTCACAGGTGGCAAGATACCACTTGTAAAATTTAAGATAAATTAGCAACAATATTTTTAAAAATAAGACTCTTGGTATGTTATAATTTATATTTAAATTTTGAATAATATATATTTTTGGAATGTTTCTAATTAAAATTTTTAAAAATTAAAATCTTTTATAAAAAAATAAACAAACATTTGAAAATTATCATTAAAATAATTTATAAACCATCAAATATAAAATTCACCTTGGTGAGCCTTCATTATCAGAGAAGATTTTTTAAATAAAAATTAACTTCACCTTTAACTAGGAAATAAATTAATCTTTACAATCTTCAATGAACTTTTTTTAAAAATGTTAATTACATACAACCACTAGATTAAAAATCTAACACATGAAAAAAGGAAAGAAAAAGTTAAAATCAAAGCTTGTACCGCAATCCTTAAAAGGACTTTCAGATACAGGCTTGTCATAGTTTTGAAAAATAAAATTAAGAAAAATAATAAACTTAAAGTTTTGGAATAAGCTTTCACACAATCATAATATTCCAGCATAAGACTAGACACGTCTTAATGTGTAAGACAGTGTTATCCTATTGCCTAAACATTAGACTGTATGTTGTCCACTGTTGTCCAGTTACAGGATCAGTTTGATGAGCCCACACAATACAAGCAGCAGCATTGAGATGGTCACTATTCCTTGTCCAGCTGAAGATTAATTAACATTGATTTTGTATTTATTACTTATGCAGTGTATGATGGTAATAACATATTTTTTTACACAATGTCTTAACAGATTTTATTAATAAATAGACGGTTTCAATTATTTAAAATCAAATTGCAAGGAAAAGTATTAATGAAAATATAATTAAGAAGCATAATTTGTATGAAATTTTTTTTTTACAAAACAATTATTCACAATTTTAATGAATTACAAGGATATATAATTTAATAAAGTTGTAAAGAAATATTTCAAAATTTAAAACAAATGAAATAATAACCTTTAACTTTTAAATGTAGAAACAGAATATCTAAATAACTTATGAAGTTTGTTTTTTTTATATTTTAAAGTGTATATACGATGATAATATAAAAATTTTGAATTATGTTTCTATTCACATTAATATTCTAAAATGTGTAGTACCTTTTCCATAATAATAACAAATACCTATTTATATCTATAATATAAATGAAGTAATAAAAGTAAACTTTTAAAATGTTTTTAGAATGTCGGGATACGAAAAAAGGTTATAGGTGATGTGAGTGATGACATCTGGTGACATTTAAATCAAACTTTGCTTCTGGCAGCAAATAAAAATTTTAAACTCACAACAAGTGTTTCCGGTAAGTGCATAGCCAGTGGCACAAACACAGCGGTTGCTCAAACACACATCATCATACTGGTCACCATCACAGTCATTAACAAATTCACAAGGTTTACCTTTTTCTATGGAAAATTAATTAAAATATTTTTATACACCATCCTTAAAGAAATAAATAAACAAAATTGTTCTAATAGTTAAATTAAGTTCATTTTCATCTCAGTTGTTTATGTATTGCTATTAATGATGTATGTTATACTATGAGTAGATGTTTTAGAAGTGTCTATGCTGAGCAATATTTGCTTCAAGGCTTATTGTATATGCTAGTAATTTGTAAAATAAGCTGAAAATGGCAATTTCATCTTCATTTTATGTAAACATTCATATTTTCAAATAATTAAAAAAAAATACTACAGTGAACTAAAATATTATTTTTCAAACAATGATCTCCTTATTGTCAATAAATTACGAATAAAGGATGTTAAATACAGAAACTGATAACAGTCATTAAAAATTATACTTCATCTGAGCAGAAACTTATGATATTTCTACAATATAAACCTATGGCAGAGGCGTAGCGACCCTTCCCGGTGCCCTGGGACAAACTTTCGATTTGCACCCCCCCCCCCCGAACTTTTCATTTGCATCCCCCCCTCAAACTTTTGATTTGGCGCCCCCACCTAAGGTCGGCGCCCGGGGACATATGTCCCCCCGCACCCCCCCCCCCTCGCTACGCCTCTGACCCATGGTTTTCACTATACCTCCAATAGTTATGGTCACTGCAGCACTTGTTACTGTTGAAGTCCCCAGTGTGACAGAACATGTAAAGCTTCCACCAGATGACACTTTGTTAGCATTTGTTATCTGTTAAAATCGCATAATGTTAAAAACAGTAGTACTCAACCTAAGTTGTATCATTTATTGTTTGTGAAATGTATATTTTGGTTAAGATGATTTAGGTTTGTTGCAAACAACAGTTTCATGATAATGTTTTGTAAGATGTATGTATATTTTAATATAAATATAGTTATATTCATTTGAGTTTAAGAATATATACAAGATGTCAACCATACTACAGGAAAACTATAGTTATATAATATGATAGACTTTATTGGAAACATGTATGTTTGCTGAAAAACACAAAAAAAAAAGAAGAATGCTCCATAAAATTACCACAAACACACTAATCCTCTGGCTATATACTTATATATACATATATATATATATATATATATATATATATATATATATATATATATATATATATATATATATAAAACTCAATTTATTATTTTTCTTCACTTAAAGCTCAATAAAAAAGGATATATTTTAAAACAAGTTACTTCTTTTTATAATTCTTATTTTTGTGAAAGGTAAACAATGGTTGACTATTTAATAAAATTGTATTATTAGTTTGATGGGTAGATTGTGTGCTTATTTTTTACCTTATAGACTCTGCTGGTACCAACATTGACAGTGTCCTTCGTCCAGACAAACTGCATATCAGGGCTGTACGATGAAGATTCACATGTTAGTTCATAGTCAGCTCCCTCACTGTAGGATTTTTGATCGCCTGAGTACCTGTCAGCTGTTGTGCCGATTGTAGGTGCTGATAAACTCGCTGAACACAAATAAAAATAAACCGGGAGTGATCTCCCCTAAACTTTCTCGAATATTCTAATATAAAATTACGAGGGATGGCAACTCAGGACATGGACAATATTTGTTATCCATTTTTAAGTACTTAAACTTTTTATAATAGAATAGAATCTCGTAAAAAAAAAGAATTGCACACCAAGTGAAAAGTTTCCCTTTCAAACCTGACGGTCTATGGGGCAAGTGAAGTAGAGTTCACTTGTTTCTGTGACCTCGGCATATGAAGAGACAGTGTGGTCAGCACTATGCTGAGTTAGGTACCCATCAGAGTTGGGTGGACTCAGGGACGGTCTACTGACTTGAACTCGGATTCGAACTCGAGACTAACTAGCTCTCTACCACTAGACCACTCCGTCCCAAACAAAGTCAACGCCTAATAAAATGAGTATAAAAGTGCGGGATATTATTAGTACTTTATAAATTTACATGCGTTTTTTGAGAAATCGGAAATAGCGTAAATTAGTACTTCCGGTCAACGGAAATTACTCAAAATTTGACAGAAGGTAGAGAATTAGATCTTGTACTTACGTGTGAAATTCCATGCATCTATCTAAAATAGTACGCAACTTATAGGCTTTTGAAAAATTCAAAGTAGAAAAAGTACCACTTCCGGTTATCGGAAATCGCTCAAAAGTTGATCACGATCTACGATTTTGATAAAATACTTGTATATGAAATTTCATCAACCTAGCTGTAACGGTACTCAAGTGATCGTGTTTACACACAGACAGACACACAGACAGACACACAGACATACGGACAGAATTGCAAAATCCAGTTTTTACGACTCGATAACGCATAAAACGCCAAAATGTTTATATATTTGTATTTATAATTTTTGCCTGATTAAAATAAGTCTTCTATATCCCGGATGTGATGAAGGACTGAGGAGTAAAACGGTGAAAACTGTCAAAATTTCATGTTATTTGTGTGCACGATTACAAGACTTTCTCTATACTTCGTATATACGAGAAAGTAATAAATTGTTAGTAAAATTTTAAATTGAAAGATACATTAAAAAATATAATGAATCAAATTTGGCACCACTAAAATAGTCTTATCGGAATCGGCAGGTTTTTTTTAAATACCTGTTATGTTCTTATATCTGCACAGTGTTTAAATAAATTGGATTTTTTGTTGCAAATGTTTGAGCCAATTGTAACAGAAAATAAAATACACTGAACATCGTTGTTTATTAACGTTTGATTCACAGAAAGAAAATTTTACTTATAAAGCCTACATTTTTAAATATAAATTACGGCATTTTCATAACTTTGTATCTTCCGGATCTTTATTGATTGTTACGACAAATAGCAAATAAATAACTGAACCTCATCTACTAAATAACTGACTTTAATCTGTTATTAACATAAAGTCATCTGTTAATAACTGAAATGTCATTTTATCTATTAAAAAACTGAATATCATCTGTTCAGTAACTGAATGTCATCTGATAAGTAGCTGAATGTCAGCTGTTGAATACCCGGATATGATTCATCAAACACCTAATGTGATATGGTCAAATACCTGCGGCTGTAACAGTCACTTCTGGGGATTCTAAATTCCCACTATCCAGTGTAGCTTTGCATTTATAAGCCCCATTAGTAGCAGCCCCAGCCGTGAAAGTCAAGGTCGAAGTTCCTGAACCTGTCGCTCCGCTGTCTTTTGTCCATGAGTAGGTGACTGTACCAGTAGCACCAGCTGCCATTGTGGCCACGCAGGTCAGTGTGACACTAGTAGCAGTGAGCGGTTGGTATGTTGTATCAAGTTTAATGGTGCCCACGTTGATATTAACGGCTGAAAAAGCTACAAAAAGAAAAAAAAAGAAAATGTTAACTTACTTTACTTCTTCAGAGTACCGGTATTTCAAATGTCCAAAAAAGATTGCTGAAAACTTGTTAGGTAATTTGTAGTATTAATTACAGTATATAATCTCAGGTATTGTTATGGAATCTAGTCAGAAATTAGGGTTACGGCTATGGTGAGGGCGTCAGGGATTTAGTTTAACAAGGTATATAAACATAAACAAAAACTCTTTGCAGTTGGGTAATACAAGATGGTTTATCGTATTGTTTCTCATCCTCAACAAACCTTTACCTCCAACTTTCCTCCGCATACATTCCTACACACCACCTTTCTCTCGCTCACAACACAACGGCTGTCACTCGACCAGTCGTTTCCCTTGTACTCTCGTTCACTATATACAACACCATACACGACAACACACCCGATCTCGCTACACACTACATACACACACGCAGTGATCCGTCCCACGTATACACCTTTTATACACATTACATCACCACACTTAGGTTAAGCGAATGTTAACTTTGACATAGGAAATTATATTTGCATTGCATTTAGTTAAATACCCGTAATCTAATACCAGATTTTTTAAAGAAAACTTCTAGGTTGTGGTATATATTTTTTTTTTTGCATACTGCTATGAAACATAGTCACATAATCATTTACTTCGAGGGCTATAGTTCATTTACTATAGTTACACTATAGTACTATACTACTATATAAGTAATTATAGTATAGAGATAGATCTAGATCTAGAGATTCATGTCTAGATATTCTATTTGTGAGGTAAACATCTACCTCTCAGAGGAGTATCTAGGCTGGAGGGAGGGGGGGGGGGGTGGCCTGGGCGCCAAAAATGTGTAGGAAAATAATCACAGTTTAAACTGTAGTTTTGAATTGTGGGCAGACAAAGTTAAGAAATTAAACTGCTCTAAGCTGTGTGACATGTGTGACAATTGTAAAAATAACGTAACTTATATTTTATTGTTTCTTGGCAGGGCTGCATTAAACACAAAATGATCAGTCTTTATATATGACTTTAACAATAGTTGCTGACAATAAGAAAGTGTTTCTTAAAAAAAGGGATTTTTAAAAAGTGAGCTGCATCATTTATTTTGTAAATTTGTTATTTTTTTTTAGTCAAGTGCAATACATTTAGACAGCTGTGTATAGGTCCTATATTTGTTAAAAAGTTAAGTAGGTTTATTTGAAAATTATAGAAATATAGCAATAATTGGGGTTCTGAGGGAAAGACTAAAATGATGACACTTTGAAGAAGTGTTTGATTTTTGTTAGGATAAATCATTAAATGATTATCAGAAGGAGTGGTTGGGGTGAAAATCGGCAACATTTTAGGACAATATTCATTATAAATTTTCTAGACAGTTCCCCACCGCCTTCCAACAGAAAATTAAAGAAAGGTATATTTTTTATTACTTATTTGCAATTTAATGTGACAGTTGAATTTGTGGTTAATTTTGTCAATGTGGTGGTGGAGGAGGGGGTGGGACTGGTATTTTCTATGATAAAAGATGGATAGATAAAGCGGGGATTGGGGAAGTCTTTTTCTTCGTTCTTAACTTAAGTGTTGCAATGCAAGGGATCCACTTCAACACAATTAAGTATACGTGTCAACTGGTTTTGCGCCATTGAGGCCATTGACTCCGATTTCAGCCTGCTTTTCTTTTTGGATTTGCTTCCATAGTCTTTGTCCAACCAAGAACAAACTACAAGGCAGCATTTGTTTAAGACTTTTCGATTTAGCAACCATGAGCTTTACCGAATCGACCACGCTGACACCCTTAGTGATATGAATTCAATAGTTAGACCTATACCTTATTATCTTCAATCACTTACGGTTGGCAGCAACAGTGAGGCCTGGGGTGCTTTTAGATGATATGGTGGTACCAAGAGCGATGTCACATTTGTAGACTTTCGTTCCTGCTTTCACAGTTAGCTCATAGGTCTTTGAGGTTTGGCCTAGTAAAGCAATGTATGCATATATTATTATACATTTACCTAATCTTTGGGTAAAAACATTGGGTTATATTAAGTCTACTCAGTTCAGATGGAGAGCAGATATAAGTAGATGTCTGTCAATATGCAACACAATATCATAATGTGGTATCATTGCCAAGAAAATAGATACAATCTATAAGGCAGTAGACAAATGGCTATAGACTAACAAAACGTACAGCAAATTTTACTTAAAAATTGTTTTATTAATATAAAATATATTTAATTAAATAAACTTTAGATAGTAAGAAAATATATATCTTATTCATATTTCATATGGGTTTCTTATGTATGTCAATTATCCATCAAACAAGCCTGATATTAAAAATATTTTACTTTCTATGAACATGTTTTATTTTTTTATCTAAATAATCTTCCCTGACCAAGAGTGTTTTTTTAAGGAAGGCCACTCTCATGCATAAGATCAGGACGTTTTAGTTTGATAAAATAATAAGTTTTGTTATTGGAATTTACGTTAACCAATGTCCAATCGAAGACAAAATTCACCACAGAAAATTCCAAGTATAAAGGAAAGAGAGAAGAACTAAAAATACGAAGAAATGCAATTTGAAGATCGGCGGAAGATGAGTTAGTAATTTGGGTTTATAGGCAAATTGAGAATTTAGAATTGGCCTTTGTTGTTTTGTAGAAAAATAATTAAATAATTCATATCAATCGTAGATTTATCGTTTTACTACGTTCAGTTATGATGCTAGAGTTATGATGCTCAACCCTAACCCCAACCCTAAACTCAACCCTAAACCCAACCTTAAACTCAACCCCAAACATAAACTCCACCCTAACCCCAACACTAAACTCAACCCTAACCCCAACCATAAACTCAACCCTAACCCCAACCCTAAACTCAACCCTAACCCCAACACTAAACTCAACCCTAACCCCAACCCTAAACTCAACCCCAAACATAAACTCCACCCTAACCCCAACACTAAACTCAACCCTAACCCCAACCCTAAACTCAACCCTAACCCCAACCCTAAACTCAACCGTAAACCCAACCTTAAACCCAACCATAAGCTATCAACCATAAACCAAACCCTAACCCAGCCTTAATCCCTACTCTAAGCCACCAACCAAAAACCAAACCCTAAACCCAACTTTAAACCATAAACTCCAACCCTCAACCCTACCCTAAATCAAACTCGAACAAAGCGCTGTTTTTATTGTCTGCGCTGAAATATTCGAATGTCAAGACATCAGAAATAGGTCACAAGTCCGTGCACTTTTTACATTAGTGACGGAGCTTACCTCGACAAAACCAAGAACTATTTTTACCTCCCACCTCCAATTCGTCATATATCATCACAAACTCCAAACCCTCACCTTCCCCATCCCCTTTCCCTTCCCCCTATTAAGTTTGACGTCGTTCATCGACGTCCCCAAAGACCTAGTAATAAGAAGTAATTATAGCAGCTAATAATAACATAACAGTAGCATAAAAAATTATGTCGGTAACATAATATAAAAAAGAGATAGTAACCGATAGTTATAGAAATATTTCTAAAACTATATAAATGTTACCTAATGTTAATAATAAAAAAAAATGACAGATACCATTACCAGAAAATATAACAGACAACAATAAATATATCATTATTACAGTTACGAAAAACCTTACAATAATGAAAGACAATAATATAAGATAGTAATTTTTTTTTTTTTTTTTAATTTAATTTTTTTTTTATATTACAAATTGCATCAAGGACAAAACCAGTTTCACGAGAGATATATAAGATAGTTATAACACATTATTATAACTAATAATAATAAAAATATTAATAATACACTTAACACAGTAGGACGTTTTTTATTTTAGTTAGATTTTAATAAGCCAGTGGTGTCAAGAGAAAATTTTTTTTTAAATATAATTAAACCTGGTACTTGTTTTGAATAGTTACCTGACACTATGTTGTCATCTTCATACCATCTGTAAGTCAGGCCAGGGATAGTGTAGTCTTCTCCACATGTCAGAGTGTATTTGTTTCCAACACCAAAAATAGTACTTTTAGATGTAACCGCAGGTGTTGCACTTCCTGAAGAATACAAATTGCCCAACATAGGAAAATATAAATGCTGATCAGAAGGGCCTAGTTTAATAACTCTATAAAACAAACCTACTGTGAGAATATTTTTAAAATATTTAAAAAAAAAACATTTTCGAATTCAAACAAGAAAAGAATCCTTTTCATAACAAACTATTCAAAAATGCAGATGAATTAGGGTTCATGTTTCTTGACTACGGCTTTTGAAGGGGCAGTGTGGTCAGCACTATGCTCACCCGCCCAACGTGAGTCAAATACCCACAAGAGCTGGGTGAACTCAGTGACGTTCTACAATCTCGAGTCCGGATTGAGATCTGAACTCGAGACCTGCGGGCTAGTAGCCGAATGCTTTAAAATTCGACCACGCCACCCCATGAATTTGAATCTTGGTAATTTTCAACATGGTTATCTAGCTATCATTTAATGTTAGTCGAGCACTTAGTGTCTAGGGTTAAATAAATTCCCGTGTTCGGATGTTCCAATAATAAAGATCAGCCGAATGTTTTGTCATGCAAATATTGAATTTTTTATTAGGATATAAATTTTATTTTTTTTTAAAAATAATTTCTATATGTTAAATACATTTGTCTTTATAAACTTTTTTCAACATTGAAAAAAAAAATTGTTGTGTAGGAATAAACGTTAGTTATCGCCATGACTTAGCGATGAGAAAATGTCGACATTAAGATTAAATTACTAAAAGAAAAGAACCCTGGTTCACCGTGATATCAGCACTTGGCATCCATACCATAAAACTGTGTGATTCTAATTAAAACAGTGGCTAATTAATATATTTGTATATAAATTAATTAAATTCAAGGCAACAGTGAATCTCAATCGTAAATAAAAAAAAGGGTTAATTATTAATTAACTATTTTTAATTACTTGCCTAAAGCAGGTGCTGATAAAGTAATTGAATCTGAAGCTGAATCCAAGCCAACACTAGCAGTACATGCATACGCTGTATTGTCTGAGGCAACCAAATTATTAATCTGAAATGTTTGAAAATTTGTTACGCTAAACTAAAACAATTTTGTAAACCCGTCTTAAGCTTTTATATACGTGTGAGTTGTTTAAACTTTAGAGCAAATCAGTATAATTTAGTCAAGATTGAATTAATGTATAGGTAAAAAAAACAATAAACACCGGTTTAGTAACTGTGATGAGTTACTTAACCTGGAGATTAAATACAGCAAATTCAGGGGCGCAACCAGGTTCTGTGATTTGTAGAGCGGCGAGATTATAAAATGCATCAGATTTTTGCGTTATCATTAAAAAAAAATATATTTGGAAACTTTTCAGTTCAGCCATACCTGCAATGCTCTGTCGGTGATGTTGGGCATTGTAATGCTGTTCTTTGTCCAGGTGTAGTTCACCCGGCGTAAGTCTGCGATCTTTACTTGACAGTCAAGGACGGCGTAACCCGTGAGTACAGGAGTTGTTGGTATCACGACAAGATCAACGGAGTCAATTATCTTGCTCTCTTTGAATAACAGTTACACATTTCAGGTTTTGATTTCGTTTAGATTTTAGTGTTAGTTTGCGTGTCAAAAGCTAATGACAGATAGATTCAGCATGTATTATATAAAACAGATCGCACATGTAATAAATTTGTCGTTGACATACTTCTATGGATTTAAGTGTTAGATAATTAAAGTCCTTATGGTCTAAATTTATGAGTTAAAAAATTAATATTGAAAGTTATGGGAAATAATTTTCATTTATCAAACTGAAAGTAATAATTTTCGGCATGTTCATTAAACACAAGTTTAAAAAAAATATCATCTTTTACAAAAATTCTAATTATGTCTTTATTTAGTCCTATAGCACTTACTTCCCTTTGATAAATTAGGAAAACACAATTACTTCCCTTTATAAAACCATAGCATTAGTGGAAAAGAATTTACTTTTTATTACTTTGTTTTGGTGTTGGAAAAAAAATAATTACATTATTAGCGGGGATTGATCAAGTGCAAATGTTGTAGGTATTTCACGGATAAGCTTGGAGTATTATAATTGTTCATTAAATTGAAACAGGTGCGTTCGTTTAAGTGAGTGCAAAAGACTATGAATAAGTTGGCGTACTACACAGATTTCATTTACATTTGTACAAGTTGGGTTTGCGTTAGTGGTTGCGGTTCGATTCGGTTCGTTTTTGTTCTTTCTTTTTTCGTTTTTGTTTGTGTTTTTTTCTTTGGGTTTGTATTTGTGTTTTTGGTTGGTTTTGCGTTTGGATTGGGTTTGTTTTCGTTTGCTTTTTCGTTTTTTTTGTGTTGTTATTGGTTGGTATTGGTGTTTGTGGTTGTGGTTGGGTTTGTTGTTAGGTTTTTGTTTTCGTTTGCTTTTTTGTTTGTTTTTTGTTTGTGTTTGTATTGGTGTTTGTGGTTGTGGTTGGGTTTGTTGTTAGGTTTTTGTTTTCGTTTGTATTTGTAATTGTGTTAGCGTTATGTTTGCGTTTTGTTGTTTTGGTTTTGGTTGGTTGTGGTTTGGGTGGGCAATGCCGGGTTTATGATGATTACTAAACACACAGGTGATGGTCTTTAACAGAAAGGTTTTTCACAGAAGCCAGAGCAGGGCCTGGCCGGGACGGCTAGTAAAGAATAAATATATTACCATATCTTCTTAGGTAAAGAGTACGAAGATCGGTTGGAGGGAGGGGAAAATGGGGGGGGGGGGGGTTAGAATCCCTCTCCATGAACTTACAAAACGACAGTAGTCTTGGGGTAAGTTATAATTATTGACGACCATGAAAGACACTGACATATAATGGGAAATTATAACTGGTAACTTATTCAATAACTTTGCTCTCTTTTTTTTTTGTACGATACAGGCTGTTAATAATAAAAACTGAGTTCATAATGTCAAGTGCAGTTGATGATACGGCATGTGTTGTCATTATCAATTTAACCTTGGGGTTTAAGACTAAACTTCTTTTTTGTTCTCAATTGCATTGCGAGACGGGATTTCCTCCAACACAATTAATTTTTTATGCGCGATATAGGCCATTGACTCCTATTTAAGCATACTTTTCTTTTTTGGCTTTGCTTCCATAGCCTTTGTTCAGCCGAGAACAAACTACAAGGCAGCAGTTGTTTGATTTTAGAGTTTTTCCTCCAGTTATCGAGCGTCATCAGCCCCGGGGTTCGAACCTCGGGACTTTTCGATTTAGTCGACCGTCTAAAGACTAAACAAAAAATAAAAAACTAATTTTTTTTTTAAAAATTAGTTTAACAGTAAAAAAAAAGTGATTTTTAAAGTTTACGCTATTAAAAAGGAATGAACCTGTTTACAGAACAATAATTTAAAAAAAATTGTGTTGGGAATGGGATGGGAATGGGATGGGAATGGGAAGTGGCAGATTTTGGTGTAGGTTAGATGAAAGATACCAGGGTCTCTGCAACCTTTTTTCTCCGTGCTTTGGGGAGGGGATGTGAGGCTGAAGTAGAAAAGTGGGGTGGGGAGGGCGGACAATGTTGAATGTACACATTTTCTTTATGTACACTTAGTATTGTGCTAATTCTAACAGGGGCGGGGGGACTTTGAATTTTCTAAGGGTGGAGGTAGAGGGAAGGGTGTTAGGAGAGATTCCTGAAAGAAAGAGTTTTTTTGTACTTGAACAGTTAGAGATGCAAATGAAACAGTTTCACCAGTTTTTTAGCTTTTGCTCACCATTGATAATGTTTTACTTACCAACATTAAGCCGCACTGCTCTTGAAGTATAAGGTGTTCCGCCCACAGTGGCAACGCATGTGTAGCTTCCGGTGTCTCCGGCAACGAGATTTGATTTAGAGTATGAATTACCGGACCCGGTAATAGTTCCCCCATCTTTTTGCCACACGTAAGTAGCTGTGCTTATAGCTACATTAAAATTTAAAAACAAATAGTAATTTCGTTGCCAACATGATAGTTACGAAAGAAAAATAAATTCTTTGGATATCTAACTCCTACTCCGATATATTCTCGAAGTAAACCAATTTGTTAGATGGTTTATAGTAGAGTCATGTCATTATGAAAATCATCCAGTTTTTTCAATCTCTACCACCGTCATGACACCAGACTGGTATGAAAAGAACACACAGGATTTTTGGTACCAGACGTCACATAATGCTGTGGTATTTAGCAACAAAAATGGCGGGTTTCCTTCAGTTTTTTAAAAAAAAATGCCGCCGAGACATAATGTAACGTGAGCCATATACATATTTGTACGAAAAGTCTTATTATATTATAACACCAAATAAAATTTAACAGAAACTTAAAAAGAAAAAAAAAACAATAAAAAAACTTACCAATGTCAGTGTCATTTACCGCACAATAGACTTGTACGGCACCGCCTACTTCAGCAGAGATTACGGGAGGGACATCAGGTCTGGGTCCATTCGGGTCTGCTGGAAGATTAGCAGGGTCGACACTGGACAGGAAGACTCCAGAGATCAAGCCTGCAATATATTTCATATAAGGTAAGGAATTCCGCGTTAACAGGCAGTGATACTATCACACGCTTTACTGCGACAAGCTTACACCTTCGTTGTTAAGTTCAAATAATGAACTGAAGTTTATTACTATTTTTGTTTAAAAACAGAAGTAGGCTTGCTACTTTAAAATGTGTCACTCATTAACTAACGATATATATTTGTTTTAAAAGAAATACCACACATTTTTCTTTATAATTTAATTTTAAGTATCTTAGCATATGTCAAATTTTAAGAATTTCATTTTAAGGCAAACCATAACTCTTATCCGTTAGTCTTACCCCTGTCGATATTGTTTTAAACAGAAATGTATATCAACCTTATAAAAAAAACGTTGAACGAACGCAACACACTGGTACAACTTACTGACTGTGGAAGGTGAATTGACAACGGCACTGGTTGCTGGAATTCCTGTCGCAGGCGTTATATTGTCTGTTGTGCCAACCCGGCAACTGTAAGTTGTAGATGACCCAGGCTGTGTCACAGGAAAAGTATCACTTGTTGCCCCCGAACTGTCCGTTCCACCTACAACCCATTGGTATGTCAAGAGCAGTCCAGATGGGATAGTAACACACTTCAGAGTGAATGTAGCGCTAGAGAAAGCACGTGCAGGCATACCAACAACCTGAGGCAGAATCGCAAAGTTGTTTCCACTAAGACCATCTGAAATATTGGTAAATTGATGTTAACATTTTCTGCGGTTGTCATAGATTTTTGCAAGTGTAAACGTATCCCACCATTTCAAGTACGTGTGTTAACCCATTCATAAAAATGAATATAAGATCATGGGCTCGAGTTAATATAACGTCTCTTAGTCCACTCAGCTCTGATGGATACCTGACTGACGTTACGGAAAGTAAAAGCGGCTGGGCATAGTGCTGAGCAAACTACACCTTAATAGGACGAGGTCAATGAGACAGGAGTACTCTACTTCCCCTGTTCTATGACCGTAAGGTTTATTTTATTTTTTAAATCAGATCAAACATGCTAACCAATTATTACCATTGTAATAATAATAACAATAAATGTTCTTGAACTTCTAGCACTAACCTATGACCTTTATGAGCACTGATTCGCTGAGGGCTGTCTCGAAGTCTCCAGTGGGAAATCTAATTTGACACCTAGGTGAGTTAAAACACAGTTGCATGACTCAGTTTTATGATGTACATATAGTGAACATGCACACAAATGTGATGTGTACGCGTGTCTACCTGTTCTTCCATAGTAAAACTTTGCAAAAAGAATACTACAACCACATTCTAAGTTTTAATATCGTGGAGTAAACCTATTTTTCTTTGTTCTTAATGTTTAATATTGGCAAAGATTTCCCTCAAATACAAGAAATTGTTATGCGCTAGCTAAGCAGTTGACTTCGATTGAATCTACTTTTCTTCTTTAATTTGCTTCCATAGCCTTCGTCCAACAAAGAACAAACTACAAGGCAGCAATTGTTTGATTTGTCTCTCCTAGATAGGTTGCTGACCCGAGCTATCGAGCCTCACTTACCCGGGATTTTTAGGTTTATCAACCGTGTGTTTGACTAGACCACGCCTAAACCCACAAAAAATGATTACTATAACATTATCTATTTATCAAGTAATCATTGCAAAAATGTGACAAATATAATAATATATTGTTTTGAATTGTGATTTTAAAAATTGTTAATCTTTTTAAAATAGACAATAGCAATAAATAAAAAAAAAACAACAAATATTTCAGTGTTGAGTGTGTGTGTGAGGGGGGGGGGGGGAGGAAGTTGGGCGGACTTGCTTTTGTTGAGAAGATGCGTTTTGATTTGGTGTTCAGATTATACGTTCAAGTTAATTTAAAAGTTTACGGCAACATGCCTATCGAAATCGCGTAATGAAACTCTACACTTGGCCAGCCCTAGGCCACAAGGGGGATCATCGGTTTCATGGCGATCGGATGAAAGGTGTAGTAATGCATTAGAGACAGACAAGCAAACACACACACATACATTGCTTTATATATATATATATATATATATATATATATATATATATATATATATATATATATTTATATATATATATATATATATATTTATATATATATATTTATTTATATATATATATAATATATATATATATATATGTATATATATATATATATATATATATATATATATATATATATATATATATATATATATATATATACATATATATATAATCATAGGGCTTAAGAGAGATATAAATTTGCTGTCTTCCACATCGATGGTGTCAGGTTAGGGTTCGTTGACATTAACTGTTCGTTGACCACAGGTGAATAGACAAAAGTAATATTTTTGTCGGATGTCATAATTTGATGCTTCCCATTATCAAAGTCCTCTCCTCCTTTCACTGACCTGTAATTGCCTGTCATGGTCGCCGTTACACTCGTCAAAATCAGTTCCCTGTTGGCTTCATTTGGCACTGGATTGTTGTTATGTGTCCAGGCATAAACTCCGTTCCCATAGTTTGGGTTACATACAAGTTTGATGTCTTTCCCAACGTAAACTTCTCCGCTTCCTGCATGTATATTTACATAAAGAACAAGAATAAACTTGATTACGACGAGACTCATGTTATACATATAGGCACGTTTACACATGCACGTACCCTTACAAATACGTATTATACATACATAAAATATATATATTCTCGCCATAACGAGAGAAAATGTGAAAGACAAATACATGCAATCTATATGTATTTATATATATATATATATATATATATATATATATATATATATATATAGAGAGAGAGAGAGAGAGAGAGAGAGAGAGAGAGAGAGAGTCAGAGGGATATTCTGCACTTGACAAAATCTTCTTTAAACACATAAAAAATTGAGTTATCTCCGTTAATCTTTCTCTCTTATATATATATACATATATATATATATATATATATATATATATATATATATATATATATATATATATATATATATATATATATATATATATATATATATATATACCAATATATGGGTTGGCACTTCAAGTTCAATTGGGCTTATATAAACATATAAATTTGGGAAAAAAGCTCGTTTTTTGAGATAACTCAATCGAAATTTATAAAGAATAGATCTATGCTTTATGAGAATATGATATATAAATTATCTAATTCTGGAGGTATTCGAGAAATTGGAAATAGAACGAAATAACCCTTCCTGCAACATGGTTATCGGTATTTTTGGAAACTGAAATACATCTAAGTACAACATTCGTATATATGATGTAACTAAACAAAATTGAAAGTATTGTATTCGTTTATAAAATCTTATATATGCAATTTCGTCTACCTAACTGGTGTTACATCGGGAATAAAAAGTACCCTCTTCCGGTTACCAGAAATCGTTCAAAAGCTGTCAGAAACCTGCGCATGTATTTTGAACTTAGTTCACCTAACTTAATCAAGCGATTCTCAAATCATCAGCTTTTGAGAAACCGAAAATAAAGTAATATATTTCCGTTACTTGCAATCGCTATCAATTTATAGTGTTTACAGACACAAACACGGACGGACAAAACAACTAAACATAGTTTTTCCGACTTTGGAAGGTGTAAAACGTTGATAGTTATCAAACATAGAATTACATCTCTTGCACGATTACGATAAGTCGTCTATACTCGTATATAATACAGTAGGGGAAATTAAAAGAACTAAAACTGTCAAAATCTCATTTGATTTTTTTGTGCACGATTACAATACTTTCGCTATACTTTGGTGTTGAGATAAAGAAACGTGTTTACGAGCTTAAATTTGAAAACAATGTTTTACCTATACTTGAAGCTGCATAATTAGTTCCGTCATGAGGAACAATACCTATCTTAGGTTGAACCACGCCTGAAAAAAAAACCAACATGCAAACAATAACATTTTATTACGTTGCTGGTATATCATATATCAAGCAAAGTATACAACATTTAAGCTATTAGTTAAGGCAAAAAATATCTCTATATGAAGCAAAGTGGTCTGAAGGATGCCGGTTTGGGCATTTGCCGGAGTCGCAGGCGCTTTAAATTTGGTAGGTGCTCGCATCTAGCCAAGTGACCGCGGGGGAAAAAATCAGGCAGACTATAGGTCCTCTTCAAAGGGGGTGACAAAAGAAACGGCTACCGAGCAGCGTCTTTATATGCCATACATTGAAAAAAAATGTTGCCGCGTACCTACACGCTGTACATTAGGAATAAAAATAAACCAACTTTGTAGTTAACAACTTTTTTCAGATGGATATTTTCCAGTCCAGGTAAGCTCTATATTAATTTATGATCTTAAACAGCTTATTACATCTAAAAAAAGAAATTACGTAAAGCAGCTCTCATTTTATAAACTTTAAGTTTTATTTCGTTTGTTTGTGTGTTTGTTGCAAATCTTAATTCCGTTTTAACCCACCGATTTTGTTCATACTTTACTGATACAATCGTCTCCGGTGACAATTTAAGAATATGTAATTTTTAATCTAATTAGACGTTATATAAGTCGTTAAAAAAATGTAGTTTAAAAATATCACTAAATTCAAAAAGAAAAGGGGAGATAAAAAGATTTATATTATCGATCATTCGATTAGCTAACGGACGAATGTCAACTGTTGCTCACGGCTGGTTAGTTTCCTGTCTGAGAGTCAATCACAGATTGCGAAGGATCAGATACTTCTCTTTTAGAGATGGCAAGCTAATGATTGGGTTTAAAATGAATTTTTTTTTAGTCGTATGTGTTGTCGGCTTCATTTAGAAAAAAAACAACTAAAATGTAGAAAATAAAACATGTATAAAATCTATTTTATAATATTTATAAGCTTGTGAAATTGGGATGGGGGGAGGGGGGGGGGCGCCAAATTGAAAGTTTGTCCCCGGGCGCCGGGAACGGTAGACATTTTTAAATACTTTTTTTAAAAATCCTGAATGTTTGAAGGAGGGTAGACTATTGTTATGGTTCCTAATTATTTCCTTTTTGGAGGTGAAAAAAGATGGTTGAATTAAGTTATATGGATAGATATAATTGATCTTTATTGGAAACTTGGCTTTTAATTTAGTTTAGAACACGGATCAACATAACTATAACACTCTAACGCAGGCAGTGTAACCTTAATTAATTGACTAAGGCGATACATTGCGGGAGATGGGGGGGGGGGGTGTCCTAAGGCCACGTGATCTACAGGGGTACGCTTACAGAAACCTATTCAATCGTAGGCAGGAGTGACTGCTAAGGTTAGTTTTCCTAGTGAAGCAAGGCAAGAAGCACATTTAATCGGCGCTTTTTAATAATGCTGAAAAGCTTCTTGTTTGTGAAGTATTTTTTTTTATTTACTTGAGACTTAGAGGACCAGCCTAGTATAATTATGGACCTTACACCACTGTTAACTGTTACGTACGCTAGATATACTTACGTGTTCGCATTGTAAGTATGATAGAAAGCGATATAATTCATCATTGCATTATGATTTATATTTGGGATTTGATATATATGAGATTTAAGATTGAATTTGTTGGGGATGATGTACCAGTATCTGAAACGTTTGTTAAAATAATGAGTATGTCCACTCGATAAATATATTTTTATTCTGTTTAAAAAGACGATTAAACAAAATATTTAAATTGGCATTAATTAAGACACTCACCGCTGCATCCTGTCCGTGTTGACACCAAACCACTCTTGCAGTCACACACCGAGTTAGTGCACGTGCCAGTCACCTGTAGAGTCGGCGTGCAGGTTTTTTTGGTGAGGTCCGTGCACGAAGTGGCACCGGTGTACTCCCATAATGCACCTGTTGAAACAAATCGTTATATATTAAACCTGGGCCTGCGGACATATTTATTTCAATGTAATATGGTTAAAATTATCTTTGTTCGCTTTTCAAACATAACAACAAAACATTCATTTACCTTATAATTTTACTCAAACTAAATAAATTATAAAAAATGTACTAAAATTATAATGTTTATCCTCAGGCAATATTATTGTTTCATTTTTTGTTTGCTATCAATGTGATTTGCAACCAAGTCGGACAAAAGACTCAAAATAACCTGCAACTACATTTGATGACAGTGCCTTGTATTATAAATGAGCAATATTGCCTGTAAATACGATCTACCAAAATTATGTAAATATTAATAACGAGAAAAATGGCCCGTTGAGAAAGGATACAACGGTCGCTAGGTTGATATTGCTGTCTATTTTCTCTAAACTAAAACCAAAACCAAAATCACCACCTTAATTCAATTTAACCGGAAACGAAAAATGACACACACCCCAAAACATGTCTACGGTCCCATTCAACGAAATATATAATTATATACTTTTTTTACTTTTTTCCAGTGTCCGCCCCCTCCCAGAAAATTCTACCCCCGCCCCCGAAAATTTCAAGTACCCCCACCCCTCTCCGGGGAGGAAAAAGTCTGAAAGAAACACTGGTCGCATTTGTAGATCATACAAACTAAAGGAAGAACCTGGGTGGGGCTTTGCCATTACCGGAAGAAATGCATGAAAAAAACTGTGCACGCTAAACACTATTTAGATTAGAAAAAGTTCTCCCCTCCGTGGAGGAAAAAGTCTGAAAGAAACACTGGTTTCGCGCTTAGCCACTACCCGAAGAATTGCATGAAAGAAACTCTGCAAGCAAACCACTTTTTAGATTAGACACATGAATTAGGCTGTAATTAATTTATAGAGTATCGATGACGACATTTCTTTTGAGTTGGGGGGGGGGGGGGCTCAGACGTTCTTACGCGGGGGTGGGGCTTCATCTCTACCCGAAGAATTATATAAAAGAAACTCTTCACGCAAACCACTTTTAAGATTAGAAAAAATGTTTTTTTTTAATTCAATGTTTACTGGAGAATCAATGACGTCATATTATTTTGTGCACTCTCCCGGCTTTGGACTCTTTTCTACTATATGCTCAATGTGACGTCATGTTTCGTTTTCGTTTTACTATGAAAGATTTTATTTTGCTTGTGTTTTCTCTATAGCGTTCTTGTCAGATAGATACACAGATATATACACAGACAGCGAAACTATTAGTATTGATAAGAATTGATAAATAAATGCATGACTATTTGTATGACATATAGTTATATTGATTTATTTTGAGACTCCTTCATCGAATGAAAATACATTTTTTAGGGCATTATCGGGATAGAAAATAATTATTTTAAAGGAAATGCAATTATTGTTAAAATTAGGGTTGTCCATTCTGAAAAGAACTAGTGGAGATGTAGAAAGGAAAAAAATAGAACTGCAATTAGTAATTGTTAAACAAAAAAGCGTGAATACATTTTAATGTGGTTACTACAGCTTGAATGTATTTTAACTTTCAAAATATGAACATCCTCAAATGTGATTATACAATTTATACAATATTATACAAAACAACAAGATAAATGTGGACATTAGCTGCTGACAAATTTAGGTGTAGTCAACACACCTAATGATTCATTCGGTTTTCATGCTAGGTAAGGAGTCATTGGGCATGTATAGTCAATTATTATGTTTTAGTCAAATCAACACCTTTTAACTAATATAAAATGGTAACAAGAGAAATAATGCCATATGAGGTAAACACATAAATAATACTGTAGAAGATGACTGTAATAAATTGTTCTGTACAAAGTTGCAAAAATAAACTTAAAACTCAAAGCGCATTTGAGAGCCAGGTGTAAAAGATCCCCTTGGTTTGAATATCAATAATTGGGGAGAAGATTCTGGAGATTTGGACTAAACAAGACTTGAAAAAACTCACCAATCTGGAGAATCAAGACAACTGTCCACCACGACGCCATCCTCAGCAGACACCGAACTGGATCTGAATGTGGTTCTAGACGGTGCCCGGGCATATAAATATTCGATTTAACTCTCAGCGTAACCACTAGCAACACTGCCAGGCAACAGCGTTTGTTTACAGGTTCATGCAAGTAACCACCAACACAAGCACCACACAAGGGGGCTTGGAGGTTTCTAGGGAACTAATCAAGTGCTAGCCTGATCGAATCGATGTATTGTTCTACTACGCGAAGAACTTCCAATAAAAAAAAAAGTATTTTATAAGAACGTTTTTAATAAAAGAACCGTACTACAATTATAGGGTGTTTTCGAACAGTCTGGATTAAAAATGTAAAGACTTTGATCAATGAAACGGAGTGGGATTAACAACATTATAGAGCAGTTAAAAATAAATCAGATAATGAAAAGTATTATGTAAAGACGTGTGTTTAGACTTGCATAGGTAAAGGAAGTAATTTGGATACCAATTATTGGCATAGGTATGCCAAACACAGTCAGCCATGCAAAGAAAACATAAAAAAAGATTTACAGATCCAGAAAGGATAGAACGAAAACATAAGCTCATATATTTACCTGTTTAACATATAGAACTGATAACACGTTGATAAATCCTAATAAAGCTCAAACAGAATATCAAAATTGATAGTGTAACAAACAATATTTACCCAAAAAAGTTTATGTTCTTCTTACCGCAAGCGGTAAATCTATTACTTGAATTTACGTGTAGTATTCTAAAGGTATTCATTGTGTAATCTATAATTATACATCAATCAAAAGACGCGACGCTAAAAGGATGACATGCTTGCCAAACCAGAAATCTTAAGCACAGTGGGGGAAACTTAGCATGACATGGGGAAGGGGGTTTGTGTGGTGGGGTGTAAAGGGAAGAGGGATGTGTGGTGGGGAGTAAAGTGAAGTGGGTTGTGTGGTGGGGAGTAAAGGTGTGTGGTGGGGTGTAAAGGGAAGAGGTTTGTGTGGTGGGGAGTAAAGGTGTGTGGTGGGGTGTAAAGGGAGGAGGTTTGTGTAGTGGGGAGTAAAGGTGCGTAGGGGGAGTAAAGGAAAGAAAGTTGTGTGGTGGGGAGTAAAGGGAGGAGGTTTGTGTGGTGGGGAGTAAAGGTGCGTAGGGGGAGTAAAGGAAAGAGAGTTGTGTGGTGGGGAGTAAAGGGAGGAGGTTTGTGTGGTGGGGAGTAAAGTGAAGAGGTTTGTGTGGTGGGGAGTAAAGGTGCGTAGGGGGAGTAAAGGAAAGAGAGTTGTGTGGTGGGGAGTAAAGGGAGGAGGTTTGTGTGGTGGGGAGTAAAGTGAAGAGGTTTGTGTGGTGGGGAGTAAAGGGAAGAGGTTTGTGTGGTGGGGAGTAAAGGTGCGTAGGGGGAGTAAAGGAAAGAGAGTTGTGTGGTGGGGAGTAAAGGGAAGAGGTTTGTGTGGTGGGGAGTAAAGGTGCGTAGGGGGAGTAAAGGAAAGAGAGTTGTGTGGTGGGGAGTAAAGGGAGGAGGTTTGTGTGGTGGGGAGTAAAGTGAAGAGGGTTGTGTTGTGTGGAGTAAAGGTGTATAGTGGGGAGTAAAGTGAAGAGGGTTGTGTGGTGGGGTTTAACGGGAAGTGGGTTGTGTCGGGGGGTGTAAAGGGAAGAAGGTTGTGTAGTGGGGAGTAAAGGGAAGAGGTTTGTGTGGTGGGGAGTAAAGGGAAGAGGGTTGTGTGGTGGGGAGTAAAGGGAAGAGGGTTGTGTGGTGGGGAGTAAAGGGAAGAGAGTTGTGTGTTGGGGGAGTAAAGGGAAGAGGGGTGTGTGGTGGGGAGTAAAGGTGTGTGGTGTGGAGTAAAGGGAAGAGGGTTGTATGTTGGGGGAGTAAAGAGAAGAGAGTTGTGTGTTGGGGGAGTAAAGAGAAGAGGGTTGTGTGGTGGGGAGTAAAGGGAAGAGGGTTGTGTGTTGGGGGAGTAAAGAGAAGAGGGTTGTGTTGTGGGGAGTAAAGGTGTGTAGTGGGGAGTAAAGGGAAGAGGTTTGTATGTTGGGGGAGTAAAGGGAAGTGGGGTGTGTGGTGGGGAGTAAAGGTGTGTGGTGTGGAGTAAAGGGAAGAGGGTTGTGTGGTGGGGAGTAAAGAGAAGAGGGTTGTGTGGTGTGGAGTAAAGGGAAGAGGATTGTGTGTTGGGGGAGTAAAGGGAAGAGGGTTGGGTGTTGGGGGAGTAAAGAGAAGAGGGTTGTGTGGTGGGGAGTAAAGTGAAGAGGGATTTATTTAACATGTATTCACACATATATTTTAATTGCTGAAATAATTATATATTTTTTAATACACTGATTGCTTTTTATAAGCTATTTCCATTGTTTAAATGTAAATATATGTTTCGCTAGCCAGTAATACAATTGAAGCAGTCATTAATAATCAACGTCTTAATTGTTGGTCTGTTCCCTACAAATCTCAATAATTTAGGGAATAGTTTAATAGTTTAACATAATCTAGAGGTCGAATAGAACTAATAAAAGCAATTGAGTTAAGGTCATAGAATGTGAGGCAGAATTCGTGGGCACATGCAAATACTAGATAAATCTGAATATTTTATGGTAAGAGACAGATAGTCTAACATATAATCATGTGGTTCACAAGTCCGATTGTCAATCGTAGGTTAGTCATGTCACACATAGTATTCTCGTTAACCCTTTTTCTCATTATACAATTATAGATAATCCATGTCCATTGTTGAGAATAGGCACAACATTTAACATATGGACTGTGTTTTATATATGCCCCATATAAACCACTCATAACACAAATTTATCACTCATGACCTATATAAACTACTCTTCCAAACATGTCACATATAGACCCCCCAAGTCCCATATATACCACCCATGTCCCATATAAAACCAACCATGTCACATATAGACCCCCCAAGTCCCATATATACCACCCATTTCCCATATAAAACCAACCATGTCCCATATAGACCCCCCAAGTCCCATATATACCACCCATTTCCCATATAAAACCAACCATGTCC